GCACAGCAAGCCCTCAGCTGGGTCCAACTTTGGAGTGTCATAACTCTGAAACCAGTTGAGATCTCAATCTAAAATTTTAGGTTTTTTCTAGTCCCTATAATATCTACAAAATATGTGAAAATCAGCAACTTTCTTGACGGAGGGTACCCTCGCTGGATGAGTTGATATGGAATGACCCGAAACCTAATTTAATATAAAAATTCAGCAGTATTTGTAGTAACTGAAATGATACATTGAAAACAATTATTTTGTATCCTAATCAGGAAACCTACAGCATCCAAGACAGAAGTGGACACCACTAAAGACCTGATTGCCCTTGGGGAGAGTGATAGTTTTAGGGGACATATACCAGGTGGACAGGGCAGTGGTGGTAGTAGGCCCCCTGCCACAATGACATCAGCTACCAGTGCCCCACAGCCATTACATTACCCAGTAGCTCAGAGCTCTGTACATCACATGAGTAAGTGCAAGGCTGTTTTTGTATTTTTAAAAGTACAGAATAATATTTAAAAAAGTGCTTGGATTTGTGTCTAGTTATCCTTATTCACACATATTAGCATTACTTTTTTCTGTTGGTTTTCAATTTCTAGGCAAGGAGAACGACTCTACTTTGCAGTTAATCAGGGAAAGTGAGCAAATTCAGAAAAGATGGGAGCAAGAATATGATAAACCTGATCCAAAATCACTAGGACATAGCCATGGGAGATATGAAACCAGCAGGATGAAACCAGAAAAATTGCACCCTGATTCTAGCACAGGGGAAGTGTATAGACAAAGGGGTGTCTCTGATGGACATAGCTTTGTTCAGTCCTTCCCTGAAAGGAAAGTAAGAACAACAGCCCCTACTTCCACAGTAACAACTGCATCAACTACAACAGAAAAAAACAGAAGCAATTTGGTTCACAGTGAAGGAAGGATGGATAGACAGAGAGATAGTTTTTTTCCTGCAAAGGTAACGGTTTCAAGTTCTGTAGCCACAGGGCATTGTTTTACAATCTGTTGCTTTTGCAACTTTGATAATATATACGTTGTAATGAAAAAATTTAATGTCTCAATGTCTTTTCTGCATACTATCACAAGATCTTATGGTGTTTTTAGTCTAGAGTTTTTTTTTTTAGTTGATTGTCCTGTTTTGTATTACAACCCATGTATCTATACATTTTAAACATTTAAACTAGCTGAAAAAAAGCTTTTTTTTTGAAAATTTCCATAGGATCCTAAAGACAGCCCTGTAGTTTCACCCCCAAAGGTTCCAGATACTTCTAAACAGCCTCAAGCTTTTAGAGACTTTGGATATTTAGGGCTTAGGCCAAAACCAGACTCGCCCCCTGCAGAGCATTTAGAGACTGAAAAGACAGAGAAAAGATCTGATGGTGTTGAAAATACAAAGAAAACTTTCACTCATCACTTGTACCATTATTATGTTCCCAGTGAACAGAGGAAAGGTTAGTTCAAAGGAGAGAGTTTCATGATTGTCTCCATAATACTGTTTTTAACTTTGTGAGACTGGCAAAAAAGACATCTAGTTAAATACACTGGTCTTACCAGTTTCAAAGTAAATCATGTAAATGCAAAACACTATATTCTTGGTTTAATTCAGATTTATCTGTCACTTTCTACATTTATCTACTCTGAGCTTCATATTAGATGCATATTATCTTCTTAATTTTTTTAACTCCGCATGTTGTACATACTTCTGAATTCACAAGTATTTGTTTCTAAAAGGACTTTGAATCCTTTTTTTCCCTGAAGGTCCTGCTGTACCCTCACTATCAGCTTCTATGCCATTGTCAACAAGGAGAGACACTGAAAGGTCTTTCATGCCAAACAGTACAGGTAAAGTAGTTACTATTACTCTATGGTTTATACTCTAAATAAACATTATATTGATTTTTATTTTTTAACATTTCACAGACAGTTACATTTAGTACATGTATTTTTTTTTTTCTTTGTCAAATTTTTGCCCCACTTCTTTAGTCTTCATTACGACAACTTCTGCATGAAGACTGAAGTCAGTTGCAAATTTGACTAAAATATATGTGAGTACTCGTAACTGGCTACAATATGATGAAATTGTAATGAATTTATAAATGTCTACAAGAATGTACCTAAATATGTTTAACATTAAGTTTCCTTGATATTTCTGCAATTATAGACCTAACGATCCTCCTACAGTGCCATTTAAGAACTTATTGTGTCATACTAAATATTTAACTTCCACATATAGTAGTCAGTGGTATCAAGTAAGACAATTACCCTGAAGTCTTGAACTCCTAATATTCAAGAGGTCCAGCATTTTCTGTAAAACAGACTGTAAGAGATGGTTCTATTTAAGTTGAGTATGATATAATTAAAAGAAAGGTGAGGTGTTTTGGTTATGAAAGAGTTATGTGACATTATCATTTCCATGTTATCTAGAATTGATTTTTTTCTGACCAGGAACTGCCCCTAGACTTTATGGTTCTACTATTCCAATAGCCACTACAGCTGAGAGGTAAGATATGGACACTGATGAAGTGATTCCTGATCACACATGATATAAAATAAACTCATCCCATGGTCCCAGTCTTTTTTCCAGTGCTTTTATTTTTTTCCAAAACTAATTAGTCCTATCATCAGGATGTTGCTTAGCACATGTCAGTAACTGTATGACAAATGTATAACAATAATAAGTAACCAGTAAGAAGAATTATATGTATTTATTGAACTCCATGTATCAAAATTACGTTTGATGTATGCAGTTTTTGTACAGGTACAACTCATAGCAGTGTTGAGAGCTGTACATGTTTTGTTCATCTGTTATTTTTAGAGATACTTTATATTCAAAACCTGGCCCTTCAAGTTCCCATACTTATGACAACCTGGAAAATCTGATGGCAGACACGGTTCACATGTCTCGAGATGCAGTTCGTAAAAGTCCCACTAAGAGTCCAGTCATTGATGTACCTGATAGATTAGGGTATCAAGAGATTTTTTTATTTCAAGTTAACTGTTAAAATATCATAATTTAAAATGTTGATATACAGGATTCTTTGTATGATAGTAAAAGACGAGATTTATAATACGTTTGTGAATTTGTTGAGAAATCTATCACTATTGGCAAGTCATGTTACGTAGACTGACTGGCTGATCTTAGTCTTAACTGTCATTAGATTAACAGAATCTCAACACATCAGTTTGCAATGCTTGTTATAGAATTTATATTATTATTGTACCTTGGAATTTTTAAGAAATAATTCAGTTGAATGTGTTCAGGAAATAAGGCTGTATTACATGCATTACAGTCAGTCACTCAAGGACCTTCATAGAACAACAGTCCAGTTACGCAAAGAATCAGACAAAATTCTTAGAGAGTCCATTGAGGTGAAAAATGCATCACAGAGAGAAGATGCAAAGTGGAGAAAGCCCAAGAGAAAAGTTTCCTCTCTTGCTGAGAGATCCACTGATGATCCATATAAGCCAACAGATAGAGGGATGCATGCAACTGTCCGGACAGAAGTGGGAAAGTATGTATTGTAAAGATTTATCCTCTTTATATTTGGTCCACATTTTTGGCAATTTTAAAGTAGACTGTGTGTTGCCAACCTTCCAGTGGCTCATAGTTGGCCTTCAGCAGTCATATATTTTTGACTGGTATGTTGCTTAGTGCTTGCCTAGATCTCAAGGTTGATATGGAATGCAAAAACATTGCTGTGCATTGTTGGCAATTTATATGAGATACCTAATGTTTGATAAGTTTGCCATAATATTAAAAAAAAGTTGTTTCATTGCTAATTAGGTTAAGTGTACAAACACACGCCATTGCAGTTTTGTCAGTTATCTTTTTGTTATGCAAATATTAAAAACATGACTTAGTGGAGATATTTTTATAAGAACTTGGGTTGTATTAAATGTTTTTGTTACAACTGTGCTGAAGCCATTATAAAGGCACATTAGCTAGCCATAAGTGAAATGAAGTTCAAATGACTGTAGTCTTTTCACAAGGTTTAAAGACTGGATTGTAAATAATCTATGTTTCTGTACAGAATGCCTGTGTCAGGCATTGTGACAAAAATACATTGTGGTGTCATTTATCATTATTTTATAGACGAAGAGAAAAGCAAATGCACCAAGACTTGCAGAGATATCTTAAAGAGAAAGAGAATATCGAGAACATCTCCCCAAGAGTTAATCCCACCAGGGATGAGGTGTACCTGAGTGATGATGAACTGTCTCAGCATAGTGACAGTTTTTTGGACTACAGAGAGTCAGCTAAAGAAAGGTATATATGGAAGATTTAAACAGTGCAAAGAGTCACATTTTTATTTTCATTTTTTTTAATGAATACTGGCTGTATATGCCAAAAAATAAATATTGAATTTTTGTTTCTTTTTAAAGTCCTCACAAATCATTCGAACATGTGTTGACAAAAAATTAATCAATCAGCAATTTATATTGTGCCTACGCATAGCTTCTAAAGTTTTTAATCCCTCATGTAGTATAGAATGAACAGTACAGAAGAGACTGGTTCAGATTTAAAAAAAAAACTGGGGTTAAAAAAAAGGTTATAAAGTAACCACCTTGAGTAATTTTGATAAGCATTCCATTCTTCACATTATGAATTAAAGTGATGTATCTATTGAAATTAAAGTTGATATCAATAATGTTCTCCATTAATGATTATTCAGGGAATTTGCCACTGATGACCTCAGTCCCCTGCGTCCAACATCCAAGAAAGTTCGTTTTCAGGACAGCCGTCTAAGTTCAGGGGCAGATGCACATGCCAGGATTAGGAGTAGGATTTTAGATGAGGACAATTTGCAAAGGACTAGAACAAGGGTAAGGAAGGAGTGAAAAGATAAAACGTGATATTCGTTCCATAGTCTTAGCTCACACTAAAATGTTATACTTCAACAAATGGTTAAAAAAAAACTCATTTGTAAATTGTGCTTTAACAAGACATGATAAGAGACCACTATTTTTTTTTTTTTTCAAAAACCATAATCTTTATGTCAATATAATTCTTACTCAGAGTTTATTCAAGATGAATAATTAAAGGAATTGTCTGAATCTGAGAGCATTTAGAACACTCAAATCATCATTCCTCACTTATAGTCTCAGCTTTGATTTTCAGATTTTAGATAGCCAATATCGACAAGACCTTGATGAGTTCAAGGATGTAATGGGCCACAAAATGAAAGTTATGAAGAAGAAAACCGCAGAAAAAGAAAGAGTCTACAGAAAAGGGGTGCTAATAGGTCCCCAAATCTCAAAGTACAAACCCAGTAAAAAGTACACAGCATCTGTGGTTGGAGGAGAAAGTAGAGGTAGACCTTCCAGTAAGGGGCTGGGAAAGAAAAGCAGAAAAAGAAGTGCATCATGCAGTCCTGATTTTGGCAGAAGACACCCACGTGAGTACATTCTGCAGTTAGTCAAGTCGATATATAACATAGAAGATTAGATTATTTTCTATTATTTGAGGAAGTTGTTTCAAGTTAATGAGTTTGTTTATGTAAGTGTCTTATTTTAACTTTTGGTTCTTTTTTTAGAAGTGCTTGAACACTGCCCGATTCAAAATAGAAATTGACTTAAATTGCATCGTCAAATGAACAGATTGATATTCAGGGAAATCCTCTTATACTGTGCTCTGATGACATTTGTATACCTTGTATCCTAAAATGTACCTTAAAATCAAGCACATTTGCCACTCCAGTCAGGGTTGGTGAAGATAATATTCTGCCCTTCATGTTGGAAGAGTTTCCCTTCATCCATCTGTCTGAACACACAATCCACAATGTGTGGAAGAAGAGTTACAGACAAGTAGAGCAGCTGAGTAAAGCAGCGCAAGAGGTCAAGAGGAAAAAATCTGCTGCGCAGGCTCAGGTAAAGGACAGTTTAGTTTTATTTATTTATTTATTTATTTTAAGAAAAGCAATAAATACTTTTTAGTCAACTTAAAAAAAGTGTTGTTTCCATTTTTCAAGTATAACTTTATGAAGAAAATGATTTCTAGCAGTTGTGAAGATTTTTATGTTATATTTTTTTCGAAGTATGAAGAAGCAAAGAGAAGACAAGAAGTTCTGATGAACATCATGAAAAAAGAACTCGCTCATAACCAAAAGATGGTAAGATTAATTGTACCACCAGCGTAGGCGCTGGCGGTACCCATGGTTTTAGTCCCAACCCGTATGTTCCNGCTCAGTCCTTCCCTGAAAGGAAAGTAAGAACAACAGCCCCTACTTCCACAGTAACAACGGCGTCAACTACAACAGAAAAAAACAGAAGCAGATTGGTTCACAGTGAAGGAAGGATGGATAGACAGAGAGATGGTTTTTTTCCTGCAAAGGTAACAGTTTCAAGTTCTGTAGCCTCTATAGATACAGGGAATTGGTCTACAATCTGTTGCTTTTTTGCAACATTGGTAATATATATGTTGTAATGAAAAATTTTAATGTCTCAAGGGATTCTTATCTGCATACTATCACAAGATCTTATGGTGTTTTTAGTCTAGAGTTTTTTTTTAGTTGATTGTCCTGTTTTGTATTACAACCCATGTATCTATACATTTTAAACATTTAAATCTAGCTGAAAAAAAGCATTTTTTTTTTTTTTTTTTTTTTTGAAAATTTCCATAGGATCCTAAAGACAGCCCTGTAGTTTCACCCCCAAAGGTTCCAGATACTTCTAAACAGCCTCAAGCTTTTAGAGACTTTGGAGATTTAGGGCTTAGGCCAAAACCAGACTCGCCCCCTGCAGGGCATTTAGAGACTGAAAAGACAGAGAAAAGATCTGATGGTGTTGAAAATACAGAGAAAACTTTCACTCATCACTTGTACCATTATTATGTTCCCAGTGAACAGAGGAAAGGTTAGTTCAAAGGAGAGTTTCATGATTGTCTCCATAATATTGTTTTTAACTTTGTGAGACTGGCAAAAAAGACATCTAGTTAAATACACTGGTCTTACCAGTTTCAAAGTAAATCATGTAAATGCAAAATACTATATTCTTGGCTTAATTCAGATTTATTTGTCACTTTCTACATTTATCTACTCTGAGCTTCATATAAGATGCATATCATCTTCTTAATTTTTTTAACTCAGCATGTGGTACATACTTCTGAATTCACAGGTATTTGTTTCTAAAAGGACTTTGAATCCTTTTTTTCCCTGAAGGTCCTGCTGTACCCTCACTATCAGCTTCTATGCCATTGTCAACAAGGAGAGACACTGAAAGGTCTTTCATGCCAAACAGTACAGGTAAAGTAGTTACTATTACTCTATGGTTTATACTCTAAATAAACATTATATTGATTTTTATTTTTTAACATTTCACAGACGGTTACATTTAGTACATGTATTTTTTTTCTTTGTCAAATTTTTGCGCCACTTCTTTAGTCTTCATTGTGACATCTACTGCATGAAGACTGAAGTCAGTCGCAATTTGACTAAAATATATGTGAGTACTCGTAACTGGCTACAATATGATGAAATTGTAATGGATTTATAAATGTCTACAAGAATCTACCTAAATATGTTTAACATTAGGTTTCCTTGATATTTCTGCAGTTATAGACCTAACGATCCTCCTACAGTGCCATTTAAGAACTTATTGTGTCATACTAAATATTTAACTTCCACATGTACTAGTCAGTGGTTTCAAGTAAGACAATTACTCTGAAGTCTTGAACTCCTAATATTCAAGAGGTCCAGCATTTTCTGTAAAACAGACTGTAAGAGATGGTTCTATTTAAGTTAAGTATGACATAATTAAAAGAAAGGTGAGGTGTTTTGGTTATGAAAGAGTTATGTGACATTATCATTTCCATGTTATCTAGAATTGATTTTTTTCTGACCAGGAACTGCCCCTAGACTTTATGGTTCTACTATTCCAATAGCCACTACAGCTGAGAGGTAAGATATGGACACTGATGAAGTGATTCCTGATCACACATGATGTAAAATAAACTCATCTCATGGTCCCAGTCTTTTTTCCAGTGCTTTTATTTTTTTTCCAAAACTAATTTGTCCTATCATCAGGATGTTGCTTAGCACATGTCAGTAACTGTATGACAAATGTATAACAATAATAAGTAACCAGTAAGAAGCATTATATGTATTTATTGAACTCCATGTATCAAAACTACGTTTGATATATGCAGTTTTTGTACAGGTACAACTCATAGCAGTGTTGAGAGCTGTACATGTTTTGTTCATCTCTTTTTTTTTTTAGAGATACTTTATATTCAAAACCTGGCCCTTCAAGTTCCCATACTTATGACAACCTGGAAAATCTGATGGCAGACACGGTTCACATGTCTCGAGATGCAGTTCGTAAAAGTCCCATTAAGAGTCCAGTCATTGATGTACCTGATAGATTAGGGTATCAAGAGAATTTTTTATTTCAAGTTAACTGTTAAAATATCATAATTTAAAATGTTGATATACAGGATTCTTTGTATGATAGTAAAAGACAAGATTTATAAAAGGTATGTGAATTTGTTGAGAAATCTATCACTATTGGCAAGCCATGTTACGTAGACTGACTGGCTGACATTAGTCTTAACTGTCATTAGATTAAAAGAATCTCAACACATCAGTTTGCAATGCTTGTTATAGAAGTTATATTATTATTGTACCTTGGAATTTTAAAGAAATAATTCAGTTGTATGTGTTCAGGAAATAAGGCTGTATTACATGCATTACAGTCAGTCACTCAAGGACCTACATAGAACAACAGTCCAGTTACGCAAAGAATCAAACAAAATTCTTAGAGAGTCCATTGAGGTGAAAAATGCGTCACAGAGAGAAGATGCAAAGTGGAGAAAGCCCAAGAGAAAAGTTTCCTCTCTTGCTGAGAGATCTACTGATGATCCATATAAGCCGACAGATAGAGGGATGCATGCAACTGTCCGGACAGAAGTGGGAAAGTATGTATTGTAAAGATTTATCCTCTTTATATTTGGTCCACATTTTTGGCAATTTTAAAGTAGACTGTGTGTTGCCAACCTTCCAGTGGCTCATAGTTGGCCTTCAGCAGTCATATATTTTTGACTGGTATGCTTCTTAGTGCTTGCCTAGATCTCAGGGTTGATATGGAATGCAAAAACATTGCTGTGCATAGTTGGCAGTTTATATGAGATACCTAATGTTTAATAAGTTTGCCATAATATTTAAAAAAAGTTGTTTCATTGCTAATTAGGTTAAGTGTACAAATTTGTTATGCAAATATTAAAAACATGACTTAGTGGAGATATTTTTATAAGAACTTGGGTTGTATTAAATGTTTTTGTTACAACTGTGCTGAAGCCATTATAAAGGCATATTAGCTAGCCATAAGTGAAATGATGTTCAAATGACTGTAGTCTTTTCACAAGGTTTAAAGACTGGATTGTAAATAATCTATGTTTCTGTACAGAATGCCTGTGTCAGGCATTGTGACAAAAATACATTGTGGTATCATTTATCATTATTTTATAGACGAAGAGAAAACCAAATGCACCAAGACTTGCAGAGATATCTTAAAGAGAAAGAGAATATCGAGAACATCTCCCCAAGAGTTAATCCCAACAGGGATGAGAAGTACCTGAGTGATGATGAACTGTCTCAGCATAGTGACAGTTTTTTGGACTACAGAGAGTCAGCTAAAGAAAGGTATATATGGAAGATTTAAACAGTGCAAAGAGTCACATTTTTATTTTTATTTTTTTTAATGAATACTGGCTGTATATGCCAAAAAATAAATATTGAATTTTTGTTTTCTTTTTAAAGTCCTCACAAATCATTTGAACATGTGTTGACAAAAAATTAATCAATCAGCAATTTATATTGTGCCTACCCATAGCTTCTAAAGTTTTTAATCCCTCATGTAGTATAGAATGAACAGTACAGAAGAGACTGGTTCAGATTAAAAAAAAAACTGGGGTTAAAAAAAAGGTTATAAAGTGACCACCTTAAGTAATTTTGATAAGCATTCCATTCTTCACATTATGAATTAAAGTGATGTATCTATTGAAATTAAAGTTGATATCAATAAGGTTCTCCATTAATGATTATTCAGGGAATTTGCCACTGATGACCTCAGTCCCCTGCGTCCAACATCCAAGAAAGTTCGTTTTCAGGACAGCCGTCTAAGTTCAGGGGCAGATGCACATGCCAGGATTAGGAGTAGGATTTTAGATGAGGACAATTTGCAAAGGACTAGAACAAGGGTAAGGAAGGAGTGAAAAGATAAAACGTGATATTCGTTCCATAGTCTTAGCTCACTCTAAAATGTTATACTTCAACAAATGGTTAAAAAAAAAACTCATTTGTAAATTGTGCTTTAACAAGACATGATAAGAGACCACTATTTTTTTTTTCTTTTTTCAAAAACCATAATCTTTATGTCAATATAATTCTTACTCAGAGTTTATTCAAGATGAATAATTAAAGGAATTATCTGAATCTGAGAGCATTTAGAACACTCAAATCATCATTCCTCACTTATAGTCTCAGCTTTGATTTTCAGATTTTAGATAGCCAATATCGACAAGACCTTGATGAGTTCAAGGATGTAATGGGCCACAAAATGAAAGTTATGAAGAAGAAAACCGCAGAAAAAGAAAGAGTCTACAGAAAAGGGGTGCTAATAGGTCCCCAAATCTCAAAGTACAAACCCAGTAAAAAGTACACAGCATCTGTGGTTGGAGGAGAAAGTAGAGGTAGACCTTCCAGTAAGGGGCTGGGAAAGAAAAGCAGAAAAAGAAGTGCATCATGCAGTCCTGATTTTGGCAGAAGACACCCTCGTGAGTACATTCTGCAGTTAGTCAAGTTGATATATAACATAAAAGATTAGATTATTTTCTATTTTTGAGGAAATTGTTTCAAGTTAATGAGTTTGTTTACATAAGTGTCTTATTTAAACTTTTGGTTCTTTTTTTAGAAGTGCTTGAACACTGCCTGATTCAAAATAGAAATTGACTTAAATTGCATCATCAAATGAACAGATTGTTATTCAGGGAAATCCTCTGTTATACTGTGCGCTGATGACATTTGTGTACCTTGTATCCTAAAATTCACCTTAAAATCAAGCACATTTGCCATTCCAGTCAGGGTTGGTGAAGATAATATTCTGCCCTTCATGTTGGAAGAGTTTCCCTTCATCCATCTGTCTGAACACACAATCCATGATGTGTGGAAGAAGAGTTACAGACAAGTAGAGCAGCTGAGTAAAGCAGCACAAGAGGTCAAGAGGAAAAAATCTGCTGCGCAGGCTCAGGTAAAGGACAGTTTTATTTATTTATTTATTTTAAGAAAAACAAGTAATACTTTCTTGTCAACTTATAAAAAAGTGTTGTTTCCATTCGTGAAGTATTACTTTATGAAGAAAATGATTTGTAGCAGTTGTGAAGATATTTATGTTATATTTTTTTCCAAGTATGAAGAAGCAAAGAGACGACAAGAAGTTTTGATGAACATCATGAAAAAGGAACTTTCTCATAACCAAAAGATGGTACGATTGATGAACTCTGAATACTTAAGTACATCCATATTGTCCTCATTATTTTGGAGTGAGAAATTTAAATATTTTATTAAATGAATTATTCCAAATCTGAATGTAAGCTTTACATGGTGGTATATATTTCTTGTGAATTAATCACATGCATCATTCCTGACCAGCAGGTGACACTGAAGCATTCTTCACTTATTGTAATTAAAAGTTACCATGTTGTACATATCTTTTTTTCAGCAAGAGGTTAAGGAAAGAAGAGCACATGAACAAGCTATGAAGGCTAAGATCAGAGAAAAACGAATGCAATCTGCAAGAGCAAGAAGGTATTATGATGACTACCAAGTTCGCATGAGATCCAGAATGTTGAAGAAAAGAACAAAAGAAGAAATGGTAATCTTATTTTCTTTATTTTTATGGAAAATAGTTCATTTTATGCATTGGTATGCCATATGTAACCCCTTTGTTTCAAGCTCTTGTACTCATTTTTCTGTGACCTACCTTTTTCGAACTTTTTAAATGAGAGATATTATTTGTTTTCATTTTTTCAGATTTTCAAGAAACTTTTCAAGGAGGGTCTTGAAATTCAGAAAGAGAGATTGAGAGACCTTCGCAGCTATGCCAAAGAGCAAAGAGAAGTAAAAACAAGGCTCCAGCAAAATGAAATTGAGTCATTAGAAAACTTGTATCCATTTTGTGAGTTCTGTTATTCAATCTGGGCTGGCATACACCATTAAAAAAACATAGCAAATTGAATCTAATTTAATGCATGAGATATGATGTACTGTACTATTTAGAAATTTATAGCATAGCTTTACAAAGAAAAAAAAAATCATGTATCCTTAACATTTTAAACAGTTATCATGACCAGTTTGCAATGTTAGCAGAGTCTATGGCCAAGGAGAGAAAGGAACTTCAAGTCAGAGAAAAAGCCCAAGAAAAGGTAGACATATTATTATGTCTTTGATATGTCACTGATGAACATACTTTTAAGATATGAATGTTTGTCATATTTATAATGATATGCACTATCTTTATTATTATTATTGTTATAAATGGCCTTGCTGAAAATTTGAAAGGTTTGCAACTTTGCAATTAAAAACTGAAAACTTTGCTATGGGTACAATATGGGTAAAACCATTCGATTTTAGGCATGTGTGTAACTAATACAGTTGTACAGTGAAATATTAAACTTTTCTTTCATAGGTTTTGTCAAAAATGAAAGGAGAACTCAGAAAAAAGATGGAGACGGAGATAAGGGAGTTCCAGGAGCAGCTGTACAGGGATGAGGATGATGTTTACTACAGACAGCTGGATGCTGACAGAGTGAAGCATGACCTGCAAGTGGCACAGTACCACTCTAGATTACTGTAAACTATTCTTTTCCTAGACCCAACCTCAGCCAAATTGGGGTTTATGATCAAATACTGTCATTACCTGTCTTTGTCTTTTACATTTGTGTATTGATGATGAAAGTACTTTACCAGTAATTCCCCTGAAAAATCTTTAGGAATGGATGTTATAATTTGATTGGAGACAAATTATTGTTCATTGGTTCAATGGATGGATAAGTGACAGTGGGCTCTTAAGAAGAGATTTATGAAAGAAACTTTAACTTTTGCTATTTCCAAAAGTGAATGTAAACATTTTGCAATTCTTTGACAGTTCTACCAAGTCCTTTTCTAATCAAAATTTGGGTGCTGTTTAATTAGAAATAGCGTTTTTTACTACAGCAGGTTTAAAAGTTTGGTGAAAAGCATGGCGATTTGCCTCAATAAACTATTGGCTATAACTTCAGTTATCTCTGACTCTTTATTTATGGAGACAGTTTAAGTGTCAGATAATATTCTAATAACATGTACCTGTGGCTGGCCGTGTCATAGCCGTTACAAAAATATTGAAGTTATTTCTGTGCCTGCATTATTTTAATGATTTCATTTGCGGGCACTCAAAAATTTTGTCAGTACTATTATCAGATTGCAGGAGTTCTATCTTTCATGTTGGTTGCACCAGTCTGAAATCCGGTACCTGCCCCTGTTTACTAGCATTTTGGACCCAATTAATCCAAACTAGGATTTAATGCACAGTAAATAACCCATTGGGCGAATTCGTTTTACTCGTCTAAAATACCAGAGAAGTTGCTAACGCATGAATTGTGCTGGTAGGTAAATTTACTAGTCGATGGATCGGTTGAGACCTACTCGCACACTCCCTATGAAAACTTCGTTCAGTTACATTCAGTAAAGAGGTGGTAATAAATAACCACGAAAACACATTTGTGTTTTTGAAATTTCCAAAGACGTGTTTGAGTGTTGCGACTAACAACACAACCACGACTGCCGCGCAAGCAAGAAGTTAACACCCTCAGCCACTCTCATGCCCGTCGCGTTCACGCCGAACAGCTCCTGCGACGTAAATCACTTCAAATAAAAAAAAAGTGGTTAAGACGAGCCATAAGTTTACAATACTACGCCATTTCAATTCCTTAAATCTTGACATCTAATTATTAAGTACGTAAATATATAGGCCTAACATCACTGATTTCAAATCGCGTGCGGGTGCGTTGCAGAATTTTCCAAGTTGACCTGTTGACTGACCGGTTTGATGATGCCACGAGTTGTGACGAGATATACACAGACGTAGATGAAATCAATCAACTAATGGCTTTTTCCCCGAAAACTGAATTTCTGTCAGAGCAAGCTTTGTCATATGGGACTGGGCAACCACGCAATTTTCATGCCACTCGCACTGTCAGTTTTCGTTTTTACATTGAAGTTCAAAAGGCAATATTTTGCTCGTGTGACAGAAAAAGGTAGTGTTCGCTTTATCCCATCAAGTAGATTAAGCAATAGGGGAAACATCGGGAAAATAATACGAAATGTCCAGCATTGGACGCTGTCCAAAATGGGACTGCGGCGTTAATAATAATTAGATGTGATAACTTGATAATTTCTATGGAAATGCAGTCTTATTGAAAACCAGTGAACCTTTAAAAATCTGCAAAGCAGGTCAAGTACTAATAGTTAGTTAAATACCATTAGCGTTTGTTAGCAGGAAAATAAGTGTATGATGGATCAAAGACGAATGTAGCTCTTATGCTCTAAAGGTGTGTATTGGTTCCTACTGATCTCCAGCGCCACCTATACAGAAGCTAGCTTTAAAAAGGATAAAAAAATATTGATAGCAGTCTTCGACTTTTTAACGTGAACGAATTACCACACGGGGAAGATAAGGTAATTGACAGCTTCCATATGTTTTGTTTGTTGCAGGTGCGTCTTGACAGTCTTTTCCAAGATCGTTTCTTTTGCCCGGTGTGGTGTGGCTAAAATCGAACGTTCCCGTTACCATAGGCATAGCCGTCGTCCTCTGCTTGGCTTCTGCTTCTTACGATTTAAATCTTCTTTTAAAAATATCAACAGCAATCCATAAAGAAGACTTTTAACTGCAATTCTGTTTTCTCACTACTGTTTAATCATGACAAAGGTATGAAGCGTGGCACAGATGCACGGTAGCAGANTTGGGCATGTTTTCCGAAGAATATGTTCCGTTCAGGCCATTCTGACGGCATGAAGCAAACCCTTTAAGTTATATCAACGATATTCCTTACCTAGTAATATAGGTTGTTTTTATATCACCCTACTTTGCTGGGAATGGTCATTTCTTTAGTGTAATTGCAACTGGATTTGATTTTTGAAGTGTATTGCACTGTGTTGCGCTGTATTGCGGTGTATTGCGCATTTCAGTCTCACCGGACGACCAGAGATCGACGAGTAGTTGACAGTTACAGGTGCAGTGCGCCGGTAGTGACCAGTTGGATTTTTAATCAGTTGTTTTATCCTTTTAAATGTGATCTTCACATAGAATTTGTATGGATTATAACCTAAATTTTTATTTAGTTTTTTTTGTTATTTGCCTACTATGTGTCGATCTGCTGGTATTTAACTTGCAACATCCACGATACTGGGTAACAACACTTGGACCCCATTTCCAGAGATTAGATCGATCTACTTTAGATCAACCTAACTCCCTGGGGGTTCATGCTAAATAGCTATCAGCCGGGCGGACACAAAAGTTAATTACCCCCTTACAGCTTGTAGTAGGCGGGACGGACATTTAAGCCGGATTATCTGACAGTAATCTAGTGAGACTCCCATGCGGGGATAGATCGATCTAAAAGCACTGGGAATACAGCCTTGGACATGGGCAACATGGCGCCAACCTTGTGAGCACACTCTCTGCTTAGAATATTAATCATATTTTGCTTTATATTCATAAATTTTGGAAAATGTACGTAACATTAAACACATACAAAAATTATTAGGAAAAAGTACACTTAACTTCACAGAGTTGGGAAAGCATGCTGCGATCCTAAATCAGCAGTTAAACAGTGACGACATGAAATCATCTCTTGCGTGCATGCCCTGTGTTTATAATGAACATTGAATTTTGTTTCATATTCATTAAGTTTGAAAAATGTAACATTAAACACATATAAAATTATCAGGGAAGAGCTAGTACACTTAACTTCACGGAGTTGGGAAAGCTCACTGCGATCCTGAATCGGCGGTTAAACAGCAATGACAAATATGAAGTCATATTTTGTGAGTTACACGCTGAAAAGTGGGGACCGGGTACGGCTCATTTAATTTAATTAGTCTCATTTAATATTCATGTCACCGGTCATTACGTCATCAATGGAAATCTCCACTATTTATGCAAAGCCCATGGGTCGAACCTGAATGGGGATATGAAACTAGCTGTGGTTTCGTTGTCTTGCGAGTCTGGAGGAAAGGAAACAGGATTGGGTCATAACATCTGTGATTACACACTCAGATGACAGGGTTTCCTTACAAGTTGTTTTATGAAAAGCAAACTGTATTTCAGGTATTTAAATCCGAAATTGAACGATATGTATAGTTTACGTGTATGGGAGATAATACTTTGTACTGAAGTTGAAAACGTAAATGATAGTAACACACAACAACCCGTTTTCGTCACCCATTACAATTTGCGACGAAGAGCAATTTTTGTTTTTCTTTAGTATGTGTGCCCAAATGCTTTTTTGTCATATCAGGGATCATTTTGGGCATACATAAATCAGGGTCTAGCCCTACAAGATTTGTCAATATGGAAAAAATCATGTAAATGGCTACCAGTATACAAAGCGGGGCCGTAGCAAACATCAGAAGGTTCAATAGTCCGAAGGTTCGATGATCCAAAGGTTCATGATGCTTTGTTGGGGGCATCTCAATAGCCCGAAGGTTCACTGGTCCAAAAACATTATGGACCAGTGAAACGAAAAACATTTTCGGACCAGTGAACCTTCGGGCTATTGAGATGCCCCCAACAAAGCAGTCTGCCTTAACCTGACTATGTTTATTAATTTCTGTTTCAGTTATTTGATCTTATACTGACCAAGACATTATAGATGCTATGTACAGAGCAGCATACACCAGTAAAAGAACAAATTATCCATGTGATTAAACTGTGTTGAAATAATAGAGAAAAAAGAAACAGAAATGGATGGGGAACAGAATGGCCCTGCTTGTCAAGAGTTGGAAGAAGATATTCCAGAAACAACAGATATGCTGTCAAAAGATGCCCCAAAGACACTCGATGACATAACAGACCTAGATGCAGAAAATTCAAAAACAGTAAAATGTGATAATACAACAGATGAAGAGCTGCCGCAGCACCTGAAAATGGAAAATGTGCATGGATGTTGTAGAAATTGTTGCAAATCACTGTATACAAGTATCAAACAATGTTGCTTTAGAACTTGCCAGCCGTGCATGACAAAATACCATCCACATAGGGCATCAGGGTCCAGGACTCAAAGGTGTGCTTATGCCTTTATGTGTCCCCCACATGGTAAATTAGCAAAGGCTGTAACCATTTTTCTTGCCATGTTGCTGTTTTGGGCCGTTTGCTGGGGGATCACTGGAGAGCAAGCCTTACCTGGAACAAAAGGCAATATATTTGGACTTGTAGTGTTGGTGGTGTGTTGTTTGCTTGCTGGGGCTGCTGTGGAACTTATTCATCTCCCAGCATTGTTAGGTAGGTTGTGAATAGGCCCTTTTCACATCAGCTGGTATACAGTACTCAGTACTTTAGGGATACAATCTTTACCATAACACTAAGATTGATAACTTTAACAATAGCCTGGCTATTCTAGAGAAAATTCTTTAACATGGCCAAAAATTAACTTCTACCCAAACTGTAGGAAGTGAACTTGTGAATACAATTAAAACCTTTTTAAGTGTAATTACATGTCGAGACCTACCAATGGTATACAAGTACAGTACAGATTGTATAGCTTCAGCATTTGGCAAAATAGTTGTTAGGCTTAATTTTATTGATGTGTTTTTGAGCTGTTGAATGTTTGTTTTAACAAAAATAATTTGATTGCTGTTTTGTTGTTGTTGGTATCAATTAAGAGTATCTACAACAATATTTTTGTCAATTTCCTGGTAATTCTCTTCTTCTGTATATTCTTTTGCAAATCAGTCATAGATATTGGTTTAAATTTTCTTTTTTGAGTGCAAATTTTACATATTTGTAATTTTCTTGTATCAAGTGTAATCTGTACTTTTTTTTCAGGCATGCTAGTTATTGGTTTTGCACTGAAAAATACTCCTTACATAGATGTGGCTAAGAATATTAACCAAGAATGGTCAGCAGTTTTAAGGTAAATTGGATGAATTCAGGATTTGCCTTTAGAATTCAAACTTATTTTGGAATTTTAGACAACTTCTTGGGATGAAATATATGACATGTTTGGCACAGATACTTTTAGGGAATATCTACTGAATTTATATACTGTAAGGCCACACTTTTTTAATTTTATGGATGACATCCTGCGCGCGCACGGATTTTCGCCCGTTCTCCGAAAAAAAAAAAAAAAAAAGCCNGCTGGTGGTACAATATTTGGAGGCGGTATCGCCTCTCTGATCCTCTAGTTTGTTTTCATTTTTTCAGATTTTCAAGAAACTTTTCAAGGAGGGTCTTGAAATTCAGAAAGAGAGATTGAGAGACCTTCGCAGCTATGCCAAAGAGCAAAGAGAAGTAAAAACAAGGCTCCAGCAAAATGAAATTGAGTCATTAGAAAACTTGTATCCATTTTGTGAGTTCTGTTATTCAATCTGGGCTGGCCAGTATGCATACACTATTGAAAAAAAAAACATAACAAATTGAATCTTTTAATGCATGAGATATGATGCACTGTACTATTTAGAAATTTATAGTATAGCTTTACAAAGAAAAAAAATTATGTATCCTTAACATTTTAAACAGTTATCGTGACCAGTTTGCAATGTTAGCAGAGTCTATGGCCAAGGAGAGAAAGGAACTTCAAGTCAGAGAAAAAGCCCAAGAAAAGGTAGCCATATTTTTATATCTTTGATATGTCACTGATGAACATACTTTTGAGCTTTGAATGTTTGTCATATTTATAATGATATGCACTGATATGCACTATATTTATTATTATTATTATTGTTATAAATGACCTTGCTGAAATTTTGAAAGGTTTGCAACTTTGCAATTAAAAACTGAAAACTTTGCTATGGGTACAATATGGGTAAAACCATTCGATTTTAGGCATGTGTGTAACTAATACAGTTGTACAGTGAAATATTAAACTTTTCTTTCATAGGTTTTGTCAAAAATGAAAGGAGAACTCAGAAAAAAGATGGAGACAGAGATCAGGGAGTTCCAGGAGCAGCTGTACAGGGACGAGGATGATGTTTACTACAGACAACTGGATGCTGATAGAGTGAAGCATGACCTGCAAGTGGCACAGTACCACTCTAGATTACTGTAAACTATTCTTTTCCTAGACCCAACCTCAGCCAAATTGGGGTTTATGATCAAATACTGTCATTACCTGTCTTTGTCTTTTACATTTGTGTATTGATGATGAAAGTACTTTACCAGTAATTCCCCTGAAAAATCTTTAGGAATGGATGTTATAATTTGATTGGAGACAAATTATTGTTCATTGGTTCAATGGATGGATAAGTGACAGTGGGCACTTAAAAAGTAGAGAGTTATGAAAGAAACTTTAACTTTTGCTATTTCCAAAAGTGAATGTAAACATTTTGCAATTCTTTGACAGTCCTACCAAGTCCTTTTCTAATCAAAATTTGGGTGCTGTTTAATTAGAAATAGCGTTTTTTACTACAGCAGGTTTAAAAGTTTGGTGAAAAGCATGGAGATTTGCCTCAATAAACTATTGGCTATAACTTCAGTTATCTCTGACTCTTTATTTATGGAGACAGTTTAAGTGTCAGATAATATTCTAATAACATGGACCTGTGGCTGGCCGTGTCATGTAGCCGTTACAAAAATATTGAAGTTATTTCTGTGCCTGCATTATTTTAATGATTTCATTTGCGGGCACTCAAAAATTTTGTCAGTACTATTATCAGATTGCAGGAGTTCTATCTTTCATGTTGGTTGCACCAGTCTGAAATCCGGTACCTGCCCCTGTTTACTAGCATTTTGGACCCAATTTATCCAAACTAGGATTTAATGCACAGTAAATAACCCATTGGGCGAATTCGTTTTACTCGTCTAAAATACCAGAGAAGTTGCTAACGCATGAATTGTCGTGCTGGTAGGTAAATTTACTAGTCGATGGATCGGTTGAGACCTACTCGCACACTCCCTATGAAAACTTTGTTCAGTTACATTCAGTAAAGAGGTGCTAATAAATAACCACGAAAACTACACATTCGTGTTTTTGAAATTTCCAAAGACGTGTTTGAGTGTTGCGACTAACAACACAACCACGACTGCCGCGCAAGCCACTCTCATGCCCGTCGCGTTCACGCCGAACAGCTCCTGCGACGTAAATCACTTCAAATAAAAAAAGTGGTTAAGACGAGCCATAAGTTTACAATACTACGCCATTTCAATTCCTTAAATCTTTACATCTAATTATTAACGTAAATATATAGGCCTAACATCACTGATTTCAAATCGCGTGCGGGTGCGTTGCAGAATTTTCCAAGTTGACCTGTTGACTGACCGGTTTGATGATGCCACGAGTTGTGACGAGATATACACAGACGTAGATGAAATCAATCAATTAATGGTTTTTTCCCCGAAAACTGAATTTCTGTCAGAGCAAGCTGTGTCAAATGGGACTGGGCAACCACGCAATTTTCATGCCACTCGCACTGTCAGTTTTCGTTTTTACATTGAAGTTCAAAAGGCAATATTTTGCTCGTGTGACAGAAAAAGGTAGTGTTCGCTTTATCCCATCAAGTAGATTAAACAATAGGGGAAACATCGGGAAAATAATACGAAATGTTCAGCATTGGACGCTGTCCAAAATGGGACTGCGGCGTTAATAATAATTAGATGTGATAACTTGATAATTTCTATGGAAATGCAGTCTTATTGAAAACCAGTGAACCTTTAAAAATCTGCAAAGCAGGTCAAGTACTAATAGTTAGTTAAATACCATTAGCGTTTGTTATCAGGAAAATAAGTGTATGATGGATCAAAGACGAATGTAGCTCTTATGCTCTAAAGGTGTGTATTGGTTCCTACTGATCTCCAGCGCCACCTATACAGAAGCTAGCTTTAAAAAGGATAAAAAAATATTGATAGCAGTCTTCGACTTTTTAACGTGAACGAATTACCACACGGGGAAAATAAGGTAATTGACAGCTTCCATATGTTTTGTTTGTTGCAGGTGCGTCTTGACAGTCTTTTCCAAGATCGTTTCTTTTGCCCGGTGTGGTGTGACTAAAAGTCGAACGTTCCCGTTACCATAGCCGTCGTCCTCTGCTTGAGAAATTGAGCTGGCTTCTGCTTCTTACGATTTAAATCTTCTTTTAAAAATATCAACAGCAATCCATAAAGAAGACTTTTAACTGCAATTCTGTTTTCTCACTACTGTTTAATCATGACAAAGGTATGAAGCGTGGCACAGATGCACGGTAGCAGACCGGCCGTAGCAGACGACCAGAGATCGACGAGTAGTTGACAGTTACAGGTGCAGTGCGCCGGTAGTGACCAGTTGGATTTTTAATCAGTTGTTTTATCCTTTTAAATGTGATCTTCACATAGAATTTGTATGGATTATAACCTAAATTTTTATTTAGTTTTTTTTGTTATTTGCCTACTATGTGTCTGCTGGTATTTAACTTGCAACATCCACGATACTGGGTAACAACACTTGGACTCCATTTCCAGAGATTAGATCGATCTACTTTAGATCGACCTAACTCCCTTGGGGTTCACGCTAAATAGCTATCAGCCGGGCGGACACAAAAGTTAATTACCCCCTTACAGCTTGTAGTAGGCGGGACGGACATTTAAGCCGGATTATCTGACAGTAATCTAGTGAGACTCCCACGTGGGGATAGATCGATCTAAAAGCTCTGGGAATACAGCCTTGGACATGGGCAACATGGCGCCAACCTTGTGAGCACACTCTCTGCTTAGAATATTAATCATATTTTGCTTTATATTCATAAATTTTGGAAAATGTAACATTAAACACATACAAAAATTATTAGGAAAAAGTACACTTAACTTCACAGAGTTGGGAAAGCATGCTGCGATCCTAAATCATCAGTTAAACAGTGACAACATGAAATCCTCCCTTGTGTGCACACCCTCCGTTTATAATGAACATCGTATTTTGTTTCATATTCATTAAGTTTTGAAAAATGTAATATTAAACACATATAAAATTATCAGGGAAGATTACACTTAACTTCACGGAGTTGGGAAAGCTCACTGCGATCCTGAATCGGCAGTTAAACAGCAATGACAAATATGAAGTCATATTTTGTGAGTTACACGCTGAAAAGTGGGGGCCGGGTATAGCTAATTTAATTAGTCTCATTTAATATTCATGTGACCGGGTCATTACGTCATCATTACGTCATCAATGGAAATCTATGCTATTTATGCTAAGTCCATGGGTCGAACCTGAATGGGGATACAAAACTAGCTGTGGTCATCTTGCGAGTCTGGAGGAAAGGAAACAGGATTGGGTCGACATAACATCTGTGATTACACACTCAGATGACAGGGTTTCCTTACATGTTGTTTTATGAAAAGCAAACTGTATTTCAGGTATTTTAATTTAAATCCCGAAATTGAACGATATGTATACTGTAGTTTACGTGTATGGGAGATAATACTTTGTACTGAAGTTGAAAACATAAATGATAGTAACACACAACAACCCGTTTTCGTCACCCATTAAAATTTGCGACGAAGAGCAATTTTTGTTTTTCTTTAGTGTGTGTGCCCAAATGCTTTTTTGTCATATCAGGGATCATTTTGGGCACACATAAATCAGGGTCTAGCCCTACAAGATTTGTCAATTTGGAAAAATTCATGTAAATGGCTACCAGTATACAAAGCGGGGCCATAGCAATCATCAGAAGGTTCAATAGTCCAAAGGTTCGATGGTCCAAATGTTCATGATAGAACCTTCGGGCCAATGAACCCTTGGTTAAAAAACCAGTGAAAATGTTTTTCGGACCAGTGAACCTTCGGACTATTGAGATGCCCCCAACAAAGCAGTCTGCCTTAACCTGACTATGTTCAATAATTTCTGTTTCAGTTATTTGATCTTATACTGACCAAGACATTATAGATGTTATGTACAGAGCAGCATACACCAGTAAAAGAACAAATTATCCACGTGATTAAACTGTGTTGAAATAATAGAGGAAAAAGAAACAGAAATGGATGGGGAACAGAATGGCCCTGCTTGTCAAGAGTTGGAAGAAGATATTCCAGAAACAACAGATATGTTGTCAAAAGATGCCCCAAAGACACTCGATGACATATCAGACCTAGATGCAGAAAATTCAAAAACAGTAAAATGTGATAATATAACAGAAGAAGAGCTGCACCAGAAAGTGGAAAATGTACATGGATGTTGTCAAAATTGTTGCATATCTCTGTATACCAGTATCAAACAGTGTTGCTTTAGAACTTGCCAGCCATGCATGACAAAATACCATCCACATAGGGCATCAGGGTCCAGGACTCAAAGGTGTGCTTATGCCTTTATGTGTCCCCCACATGGTAAATTAGCAAAGGCTGTAACCATTTTTCTTGCCATGTTGCTGTTTTGGGCCGTTTGCTGGGGGATCACTGGAGAGCAAGCCTTACCTGGAACAAAAGGCAATATATTTGGACTTGTGGTGTTGGTGGTGTGTTGTTTGCTTGCTGGGGCTGCTGTGGAACTTATTCATCTCCCAGCATTGTTAGGTAGGTTGTGAATAGGCCCTTTTCACATCAGCTGGTATACAGTACTCAGTACTTTAGGGATACAATCTTTGCCATAACACTAAGATTGATAACTTTAACAATAGCCTGGCTATTCTAGAGAAAATTCTTTAACATGGCCAAAAATTAACTTCTACCCAAACTGTAGGAAGTGAACTTGTGAATACAATTAAAACCTTGTTAAGTGTATTACATGTCGAGACCTACCAATGGTATACAAGTACAGATTGTATAGCTTCAGCATTTGGCAAAATAGTTGTTAGGCTTAATTTTATTGATGTTTTTTTGAGCTGTTGAATGTTTGTTTTAACAAAAATAATTTGATTGCTGTTTTGTTGTTGTTGGTATCAATTAAGAGCATCTACAACAATATTTTTGTCAATTTCCTGGTAATTCTCTTCTTCTGTATATTCTTTTGCAAATCAGTCATAGATGTTGGTTTAAAATTTTCTTTTTTGAGTGCAAATTTTACATATTTGTAATTTTCTTGTGTCAAGTGTAATCTGTACTTTTTTTTCAGGCATGCTAGTTATTGGTTTTGCACTGAAAAATACTCCTTACATAGATGTGGCTAAGAATATTAACCAAGAATGGTCAGCAGTTTTAAGGTAAATTGGATGAATTCAGGATTTGCCTTTAAAATTCAAACTTATTTTGGAATTTTAGACAACTTCTTGGGATGAAATATATGACATGTTTGGCACAGATACTTTTAGGGAATATCTACTGAATTTATATACTGTAAACAGAATCACAAATTTTAAGTAATACATGTATAAAAAAAAACATTTTAAAACATTATGCTACATTATCAATCAAGATGTTTTTCATGCATTAGGTCTATGGCATTGGTTGTGATTTTGCTGCGTGCTGGTTTAGGGTTGGACCCACAAGCCTTGAGGAAACTTTCCTGTGTTGTGATCAGGCTGGCTTTCACGCCCTGTATGGTGGAGGCAGCCACTGTAGCTGCAGCAACACATCTTCTCTTAGGATTTCCAGTGGAGTGGGGATTCATGTTAGGGTAAGTTACAGTTTACATTTTTTTCTCATTTCAAAATAAATAATTTTAAGCATTTTGGAATACATTTCATATTCAAACACAAGACAAGGGTGTTATCATATTATAACAGGTACTCAAAGTTTAAATAGTGAGTGTACTTTTTTGCTTCATGGAATATTTTAGATTTGTGCTGGGAGCTGTGACACCTGCTGTGGTTGTCCCCAGTATGCTGAGTCTCCAGGAGAAAGGATATGGAGGGGACAAAGGAATAACCACATTGGTAGTGGCTGCTGCAAGCATTGATGATGTTCTTGCTATTACTGCATTTGGCGTCTTACTTGGCATTGCCTTTTCAACTGGTATTTAATTTCTTCCTCCTTTATTTGTTTGATGAGTGCTATTTTTGTTATTCTTTACCCAGTTCAATTTGAAAATTTTTAGAAGTACATTAGTTTTCAAATTCTTATCATGATTGTTATGCCATGGTGATATATGTCATATTTTATTACCAGCCTTGTTTTCCAGGTGACATTGCTGTCACTATTGTCAGAGGGCCACTGGAAGCTGTGTTAGGAGTGGTGTATGGGGTAATAGCAGGGATAATTGTGTGGTATTTTCCTCACAAAAAGCATGTAAGTTGTATATTGCCACGGTTTGGGGGTTTAAAGCATAAAAAATTACAGCTCTAAAATATCAAGATGGAAGGAGGGTAAGACCCCTCCCCCTGCCTGTGTATATGATTTTCCTATTGATGATAAAAAGACGCAGTTAGGGCGCATTCCCATAGATTTTAGATCGATCTATCCCCGTGGGGAGTCTCACTAGATTACTGTCAGGTAATCTGGCTTAAATGTCCGTCCCGCCTACTACCAGCTGTAAGGGGGTAATTAACTTCCATGCGTGGTCGGCTGACTGCAATTTAGCGTGAACCCCCAGGGATTTAGGTCCATCTAGTAAGATCGATCTAAATCTCTGGGAATGCCCTCTTAGATTGAGAAAATATTATATGATGGAACTGTAATTAAAACAGATTGCAGTTGTTATAAAAACAAATAAGAAAATATGTTGATTTGTTTTATGATTTAAAAGAGATTAAAAACACCAAATACATGTATTAATTAAAGGCCTACATTTCTGCTTAGCATGTATTCTGTCATTTTTCTGTGACTTTTCTCATTTGTTTGTATTTTCTACATTTTAGAAGCATTTAAAGTTCTACAGAACATTGTTATTACTGCTGGGTGGCTTATTTGCTGTGTTTGGTAGTAACAGTGCTCAGTTACCAGGTGCAGGAGCTTTAGGTTGTCTTACAATGCCATTTGTTGCTGCTTTACGATGGAGGAAGGAAGGCTGGGTTGAGGATAATGTAAGAAATTTAGTGTATGTAGTATTAAAAAATCATTGAGATTAATACCAGCACATTTAAAATATCAGTATTGACCAAACTGTTGTGTACCATAATATTATGAACTAGCAAAATCTATACAGGATTAAGGCACCCAACTGGTAATAAGGAAATGTAACTTTGTCTTACATGCTGTAGGTTTCAACAGACTTTTGGGGAGCTGTTAATGATTCTTTGTATTTTTGTTTTTTTCAGTGCCCTGTGACAAAAAATTTGGGGAGATTATGGGTCCTTTTTCAGCCACTACTCTTTGGACTTATAGGTGCAGAAATTGAAATCTCAAGCCTCCAAGCCAATACTGTAGGTAAGTGACATTTTTAAAGGATTTAATAAGTATGGCTGTCATATAATCATATTTAAATTATTAATGAGGTCAATAAAAAAATCAAAATTTACCAAGGAACATACACCAGAACCTTTAAATAGTGTTTAAAATAAGTTTTTAATTCTTTTTTTTCCAGGCTTAGGAGTGGCCACATTATGCATTGGACTTTTTACAAGAATGGTGGCATCATTTCTTGTAGTATTTGGAACAGAGTTCAACTGGAAGGAAAGGTTCTTCATTCCATTTGCATGGCTTCCAAAGGCAACTGTTCAGGTATGTGATTATATTTACTGTGGACTATTTAGAGATCTTATCACTCATAAAATGGTCAATCATTATTCGTTATTTTGACCAAGAAACCCTAATTTCATTTATATGCAAATGAAAATTGTTCTGAAGAAAATACAAAGAACAGTAAGTGAAAGTATTTCAATAATAATTGTGTACTTAGTAACAAGAGAGTCTGTCAACTTTGTTTACTAAATTAACAATTACACTGATTAGTGCTTTAGTATATTCTTTCTGGTTGGTTAAAAGGCTGCCATAGGACCAGTAGCTTTGGATACAGCCAGAAGGAATGCAGATGTGACAAAAGAACTTTTGGGGATACAGGTATCTGAACTTTGTAAATCTAGCAAATTACAAAAAGTATAACAACATGAAAAAGTGTGAATGAATTTTTCAACTAAATTTGATAGTTGTACATATTGCATATTTGTTGATTAAAGTGGCAGTTAAAGGCAGCCTATTTTTAATAAAGATTAATGACAGCACAAGCTGTGAAATATTTATTACTCTTCTGTATTAATCATGAATGTGGAAAACGTATAATTTATCTGCCAGACATTGTTAATGATGTGCTGAATTTGCTGTAGGTTTAGCATTTATTTTATTTTAGATCTTGACTATAGCAGTATTGTCCATTCTGATTACGGCACCTGTTGGAGCAGCAGCTATAGCCCTCACTGGACCAAGATTGTTGACAAAAACGAAACATACAGATCCCAATAATCAGGATCTAAATGATCCAGATGACTTGCCAATCACAGAACTTTAACAATCACAAGAAATTAAAAAAATATATATATCACTTGGATTCACTTGTATCATCAGATATTTTGTCATAATAGAATGTGAAGTAAACTCATAGTGATCTCATTTAGGAGTTATTTATTTATTTATTTATTTTTTAAAGTAAATTGTCAATTTTGATAATCAACATTTTATCAGTCATTGTTTTGCTTCATTTAAATTTAGAACATTTGAGTAACAATTTTAGTAATGTTAACAACAAGTTAGCCAAGATTCCATCAGTTGGGAACTGTACTGCTAGGCACCAAGCACTCGAGGAAGTCTTGCACTACCACCACACCTCTGGGATCACACCAACGTTGAGCACAGGGCCCAGACTTGATCAAGGCACCAAGAGGGAATTGCTGCCCTTGCCACCAGCATCCTGCATTCTCCAGAGGGGGATGGTCCAGGGGTGGGACCAAGCATTCCACCTTGTCAATCACAGCCACATGACTTCCCAGGGTACACCAACGTGTGCTGCAGTTTCCAGCAGCTATGATTTCTCCAGGAGTGTAGGATTTATTCATCCAGTAACAGCCACTTTTCCCTTAAAGATAGATACGGTAAAGTCTTGAAAATTTCGTCGTTCTTGAAAATTTCGTCGGCAGACGATTTTCCGCCGACGTAATTTTTTTCCCTTTGAAAACTTCGTCGACCTAGAAAATGAGTTACTCGATAATTTTTGAAAAGTTCGTCACCAAATATGGCCGCGTTGTCCAGCTCAAACATGAAGGTAATGCGTCAGTTGATTCAAGACAATGATACGATCAGGATATCATTGCCGATAACACTCTCAATGGCAGATAGGAACAATGGTGCGCCCCTGCGAGCGGTTACTCACAATATAGATGGTTTAGATATGAATTCCCGTTCTCAATTGCGGGAACGTCGGCCTTTTGTCTTTAGTTGCATTACTATTACCTAGCTTAAGGTGCGTTATCAAGCCGGCAAATAGAAGTCAAGGCCGCGTCTTTGGCATTTGTAACGCCGTTATTGTTATCGGCGGCTGTCCTAAATGAGGAAGAGACAATGAAAAAATCAAGATATTATCTCGAAGTGAAATGTACCCGTCACTTCTATTCATGTCCATGTTCAATTTAGGACCATTTAACGATTACCTGGCTCGTACATGGAGATCGTTCGCAATGCGAATGGGACGAGATGGCAATTTTCATATCTTCAGCGGAGAATCGTTCGCGTAATATCGTCAACAGATCGTTCGCGATCCAAACGAGACAAGACGATAATTTTCATATTTGTAGCGGACTCCGTTCGCATAAGCGGGAGATCGTTTGCGATTCGAGAGACGAAAAGGCAATCTTCATATCTTCTGCGGGAGATCGTTCGCGATGTAAGCGAGAATAAAATGCACTTTTCATATTTGTTCAAGGGAACTTCGTTCGTGGAAGATCGTCAGCAGAAGTTCATTATTTTAACCCCCCTCCCCCTTTGAATTTTATAGATAATATATATTTTTCATATTATCTTTAACCCCCCCCCCCTTTCCCCCGCTCACGGCATATCTTCAGCGGAGAATCGATCGCGTAATATCGTCAAGACTTTGTTCGCGTAAGATCGTCAGAGGGAGATCGTTCGCGATCCGAGCGAGACAAAAAGGCAATTTTCATATCATCATCGGGANACAATTGTGTGGTATTTTCCTCACAAAAAGCATGTAAGTTTTATATTGCCATGGTTTGGGGGTTTAAAGCTTAAAAAATTACAGCTCTAAAATATCAAGATGGAAGGAGGGTAAGACCCCTCCCCCTGCCTGTGTATATCATTTTCCTATTGATGATAAAAAGACGCAGTTAGGGCGCATTCCCATAGTTTTTAGATCGATCTATCCCCGTGGGGAGTCTCACTAGATTACTGTCAGATAATCTGGCTTAAATGTCCGTCTCGCCTACTACAAGCTGTAAGGGGTAATTAACTTTAATGCGTGGTCAGCTGACTGCAATTTAGCGGGAACCCCCAGGGATTTAGGTCCATCTAGTAAGATCGATCTAAATCTCTGGGAATACCCTCTTAGATTGAGAAAATATTTTATGATGGAACTGTAATTAAAACAGATTGCAGTTGTTATAAAAACAAATAAGAAAATATGTTGATTTGTTTTATGATTTAAAAGAGATTAAAAACACCAAATACATGTATTAATTAAAGGCCTACATTTCTGCTTAGCATATATTCTGTCATTTTTCTGTGACTTATCTCATTTGTTTGTATTTTCTACATTTTAGAAGCATTTAAAGTTCTACAGAACATTGTTATTACTGCTGGGTGGCTTATTTGCTGTGTTTGGTAGTAACAGTGCTCAGTTACCAGGTGCAGGAGCTTTAGGTTGTCTTACAATGCCATTTGTTGCTGCTTTACGATGGAGGAAGGAAGGCTGGGTTGAGGATAATGTAAGAATTTTAGTGTATGTAACATTAAAAAATCATTTAGATTAATACCAGCACATTTAAATTATTAGTATTAACCAAACTGTTGGTACCATAATATTATGAACTAGCAAAATCTATGCAGGATTAAGGCACCCAACTCGTAATAAGGAGATTAAACTTTGCCTTACTTGCTGTAGGTTTCAGCAGACTTTTGGGGAGCTGTTGATGATTCTTTTTTTTTTTTTTCAGTGCCCTGTGACAAAACATTTGGGGAGATTATGGGTCCTTTTTCAGCCACTACTCTTTGGACTTATAGGTGCAGAAATTGATATCTCAAGCCTCCAAGCCAGTACTGTAGGTAAGTGACATTTTTAAAGGATATAATAAGTATGGCTGTTATATAATCATATTTAAATTATTAATAAGGTCAATAAAAAAAGCAAAATTTACCAAGGAACACACACCAGAAACTTTAAATAGTGTTTAAAGTAAGTTTTTAGTTCTTTTTTTCCAGGCTTAGGAGTGGCCACATTATGCATTGGACTTTTTACAAGAATGGTGGCATCATTTCTTGTAGTTTTTGGAACAGAGTTCAACTGGAAGGAAAGGTTCTTCATTCCATTTGCATGGCTTCCAAAGGCAACTGTTCAGGTATGTGATTATATTTACTGTAGACTATTCAGAGATCTTATCACTCACACAATGATCAATCATTATTTGTTATTTTGACCAAGTAACCCTAATTTCATTTATATATAAATGAAAATTGTTCCGAAAAAAAATACAAAAAACAGTAAGTGAAAGTATTTCAATAATAATTGTGTACTTACTAACAAGAGAGTCTGTCAACTTTGTTTACTAAATTAACAATTACACTGATTAGTGCTTTAGTATATTCTTTCTGGTTGGTTAAAAGGCTGCCATAGGACCAGTAGCTTTGGATACAGCCAGAAGGAATGCAGATGTGACAAAAGAACATTTGGGGATACAGGTATCTGAACTTTGTAATTCTAGCACCCCATTTCCATAGATAAGATCGACCTACTTTAGATCGACCTAACTCCCTGGGGGTTCACGCTAAATAGCTGTCAGCCGGGCGGACACGAAAGTTAATTACCCCCTTACAGCTTGTAGTAGGCGGGACGGACATTTAAGTCGGATTATCTGAAAGTAATCTAGTGAGACTCCCCGCGGGGATAGATCGATCTAAAATCTATGGGAATAGAGCCTAGCAAATTACAAAAAGTATAACAACATGAAAAAGTGTGAATGAATTTTTCAGCCAAATATAGCTGTACATATTGCATATTTGTTGATTAAAGTGGCAGGTAAAGGCAGCCTATTTTTAATAAAGATTAATGACAGCACAAGCTGTGAAATATTTATTACTCTTCTGTATTAATCATGAATGTGGAAAAGGTATGATTTATCTGCCAGACATTGTTAATGATATGCTGAATTTGCTGTAGGTTTAGCATTTATTTTATTTTAGATCTTGACTATAGCAGTATTGTCCATTCTGATAACGGCACCTGTTGGAGCAGCAGCTATAGCCCTCACTGGACCAAGATTGTTGACAAAAACGAAACATACAGATCCCAATAATCAGGATCTAAATGATCCAGATGACTTGCCAATCACAGAACTTTAACAATCACAAGAAATTATATATATATATATATATATATATATATATATATATATATATATATATCACTTGCATCATCAGATATTTTGTCATAATAGAATACCAGTATGCAGTAAACTCATAGTGATCTCATTTAGGAATTATTTATTTATTTTTTTTTTTTTTAAGTAAATTGTCAATTTTGATAATCAACATTTTATGAGTCAGTGTTTTGCTTCATTTAAATTCAGAACATTTGAGTAACAATTTTAGTAATGTTATCAACAAGTTAGCCAAATTCCATCAGTTGGTAACTGTACTGCTAGGCACCAAGCACTCAAGGAAGTCTTGCACTACCACCACACCTCTGGGATTACACCAACGTTGAGCACAGGGCCCAGACTTGATCAAGGCACCAAGAGGGAATTGCTGCCCTTGCCACCAGCATCCTGCATTCTCCAGAGGTGGATGATCCAGGGGTGGGACCAAGCATTCCACCTTGTCAATCACTGCCACATGACTTCCAAGGGTACACCAACGTGTGCTGCAGTTTCCAGCAGCTATGATTTCTCCAGGAGTGTAGGATTTATTCATCCAGTAACAGCCACTTTTCCCTTAAAGGAAGATATGAAATTCTTCAAATTGCCCTCTTTTTAAACTTTTTCTCTTATATTGGTTAACCACCATTATCTGACTGATGAATGTTTCAGATACAATTAGCAGGTAGAACCTTGTGTTTAGATGCATCTTTTTTTAATCTAGAAAAATGTTCCTTGGCTATTCAAAAAGTATACAGTTATCTTTTTACTTCTTTACAATAATTTTATTTTTCTTTACTTCTTTATAATGAAGGAAAATACATTATTGAAGTTATATGTTGTGAACTGAAATTTGAATGACCTCACATATTCCAACATTTTATTAAAGTTTCAGCTTACATCATATTACTGAAGCTAAGATTCTTCTGCCTTTGTTTCTCTCAAAATACTCTTTGAAATCAAATCAAGCTTTCGAATCATCTCTCATAATCTTACAAAAAAATTCAGTTGGGAGTAACAAAGAAAACTTTTCTTTTTGAAGGAGGGGGGCAGCAACTTAAATGCATTGTAACAACAGACATCACAGGCAGAACTAGACTGGACAAATTACCTGGCTGTACATTTGTAACTGCTGGTCTTTGGGGCTTGCTGGTTGCAGGCTGGACTGTAGTCCTATGGTCAAATTTGTGGGGTATACCTCCAGGTTGACAGTTGACAACAACCCACAGTCCAAACATGACTGTCAAAACTGTAAGTAGTTGTGGATTCATCTCTCAGCACTCACTGGGCTAAATTATGTGCCCTACCCAGGCAAGCCCACTATATACCACCAGTTCAAACATGTAAGATACCAATTGATATTATTATGTCTGATAATCTGTAAATTTGTTTATGCTATCATTTTGTGGTATGGTTAGAGCTTGGGAACCATAGAGGGTCTTCTGTCTGTGATAACTTTGTAAGTTAATCAGACCTTGGGGGTATTTGTAAGGTGGGATGGCCCTATCATTGCCCATTTACTTGGGCCTTGTAATCGCTATTAATCGGGTAGATAAATTTCATTGACAGGTAGGTCAAGATGCTCTAAAGTTTTGGAATATTGCCAGAAAAAAAAAAAGATAGACCCAATGTTTGTCTTAAACTATAACACTTTTTTATCCCCCATTTTGCCTGTTTCTTTCTTTATTATTTCATTTGCTGATTGACCCTAAACATCAAGTCATGATAAATGATAGGTTCTGAGTCCCATCAATTGGTTGCAGAGAACCATGACATACAGCATTTGAGCTAGGTTTTTAACAAGCTATGCCAAGTAAAAAGATTTGTGGACCAAGTTCGCAGAGAAATTTAACTATACTAAATGTATTTGTTCATTTTATATTACAACCAAAGATATCCCCGGTCACTGCAATCCTGACCATCAGAAAGAAGCATGAGCATTTTCATCCTGCACATTTATGGATGTGCTGATAAATGGAAGCACTTCTATTTCCCCTCGAGTTGGTCCCACACATTAACTTGACTTAGGAAAAGGTTTTGCATGGTTTATCAAATCCCATTCTATTTTATAGATAACATGACTGCTTTTGTCATCAATCAAATGTGGACTTGCATCCATTTTTACTTGAGCACTTAACCACAATACTGCCCATTTCCAGTAACAAAACAGGGGCACCAAGATAAAGGGTGGTATAAGACAAGTTTGTCCAATATCTGTATTATCACAAAGCATGAAAAAAACTGAGGGCATTTTGTCTAGATTTCTAGTTTGTAAGTTAAAACTTACTGTGCAGTGTTAACAATCAGCAAAGTTTGATGCAATGATGCTGCATAGTCAAATTCAAAGGCAATCAGTTGTGTTAACATTGGATTATTATGATCCAGGCAACCCATGGAGGCTACGTATGGTTGCAAAACGTTCTTCCAACCATAGGATTTATTTCCAATGCAAAAGGTCTTACACTTGAACTACTCAGTATAGAGCATTTGCATCCTAATCCAGCAGGAACACTAGTTTCAGTCCCACTTGATTTTAAACCTACAAGGGCGGCAACACCTACTGGCAACTTGATAGAAAGTGTATAAAACTTCAAAGATATTACAACCACCCCACAGACAACCCATTGCAAGAGCAGCACTACTAAAATGCAAAATTGTACTCAACAATTAGCAAATTCTTTTCATATTTTCAGTTTTTTATTCATTTTTAAATATACATGGCTCAGAATGATATCTGACAAAGGAGATGTATTTCGTTTGTCATTTCATTTTAAAGTCAAAAACCAGCTGGTTTTGGTTTACAATCTTCTACCACGTCGTCCACCCTTCCTTCTTGTACTGTCTGACGGGATAGGAGTGACATCCTCTGGAAAGAAAAATTCCAAATTAAGAATGGCATAAGTAAAATCTGCCCATCAGAAACTGGGAAGGTTTCTGGTGATAACATATCAATTATTCTGTGCAAATAATCTTACTTTTATCTCTTTACATTTTAAAAGCACAAATGACCTACTTGTTGCACAATCAGACACTCAACAGATGTTCAACAGGGGGTGGCAACTTTAATAGAATGTCAGACTGAATAATAAACACTACTATAAAACTTTCTGCATGGAATCAAATTACCTATTCTACCAATCTTCATCCCAGAACGAGCCAAAGCTCTTAAAGCAGACTGGGCTCCTGGTCCTGGAGTTTTGGTTCTAAAAATAAAATAATATAGTTCCAATTTAACTTCATAACACACATATTTTTCTTTTCTTCAAGTATAGTGAGAGCAGTCAGAAAAAATTCAAAAAAATTTGCCATAGTAGCTACCCCTTACTTAGTGGGTTACATATGTAATAAATGTATATGCAAAATCAGTGAGTGATTCAAAAACAATTTTCATATCCCAGTTGCTTATCTTGACATGCACATTTCTTTCATACCTGTTACCACCAGTGGCTCTGAGTTTGATGTGCAGGGCAGTGATGCCCAAAGTTTTGCACTTTTCTGCTACGTCCTGAGCAGCCAACATAGCAGCATATGGGGAAGCTTCATCACGATCTGCTTTTACTTTCATACCACCAGTTACACGGGCAATGGTTTCTCTGATACAAGAAAAATTGAATACTCATCCATAGAAAAGAAAATGTTATTTCACAATAGTAATTAAAAGCACCCCTAAACTTCAAATTATTATTATTATAACCATACTAGTGTGGGGTGGAGGATTAAAGATTTGTTGGAAACTGCCTGGATAGAAATAACATTCTATTTAAAAGCACGTCCTCATTTTTCTGTCCTATTCAAAGTAATGCCTCTATATATTAAAAGGGTGTTAGAGAGAGGGAAATTCTACTTACTTTCCAGACAAGTCTGTAACATGTACAAAAGTATCATTGAAGCTTGCAAAAATGTGCGCCACTCCAAACACATTTTCCCCTTCTAGGGCCTGAGGACCCAAGGCAACCTTTTCTTCCACCTGGGTTTTGCCTTTGCGTGGAGCCATTCTGCAAACACAGCAAAAACAAACATTTATACATTTGAAAAAAATTGATTTATGTAAAAAAAACCTCAACAAAGAATCACATACTAGATAAGAATTGGCATCACCGTCAAATTAAAGCCAATATCACCTGAAATGTACATTGGGGCTGTGCTCGTATAAAGTGTTTTTTTAATCACATGAACTGCATTGGTGATGTGCATTTAAGGCAAAATAGGAGACGCCACGCATGATTATGATTTTTTCAATTTAATTAAGATTTTAGGAAAAGGTTGCTGACTTCTTTCATGATTATACCTAATGTAGACATTCAGTCACTGATGCGTTGATGAACATTGACCAATATATAAACAATCTTATAACATGAACATTCGACCGTATAAAAACAACCTTCACACATGAAAATCTGTAAGCAACTGTACAAGATTAACTGCCGTAGCGCCATGCAATCAAGACATTGTCTTGCAGGCACTGTTACATGTTTTGGTAAGGCACACTAGTAAAACCAGTACGTATTAGAGATAGATGGCCAGTTTCACGCTAATATATTTCAAATGGCTTCTCTTGGCGGCCTAAAAACCATTATATCTTAAATGTCACACTTATATCCATTGCTTTATATAAACAAACTCTTTGGAAACACTTTCGTGGATACAGATGAAACGGATTTTAATATTGGCTTTAATCTTCACAAACCTAAATAAAGTATGGCGACCGGAAAGAGAAAGAAGTTNTACCACCAGAAAATGACTTAGGAAGTAGTAATAAATACCCCACCATATAGGAGGGTCAAAGATAACAGTCGCTAAGGATAAAAGCCCGAAGGCCGGATTTTTGAAAATTTCGTCATGCCCAGGGCCAGGAGTCGGTGAGAGGTAATTTTGAAAAATTAGTCGGATTTACTCAATTAAAAATATTAATTAATTTTTAAGCGACGAAATTTTCAAGACTTTACCGTATGAAATTCTTCAAATTACCCTCTTTTTAAACCTTTTCTCGTATATTGGTTAACCACCATTATCTGACTGGTGAATGTTTCAGATACAATTAGCAGGCAGAACCTTGTGTTTAGATGCATCTTTTTTTAATCTACAAAAATGTTCCTTGGCTATTCAAAAAGTATACAGTTATCTTTTTACTTCTTTAAAATAATTTTATTTTTCTTTACTTCTTTATAATGAAGGAAAATACATTATTGAAGTTATATGTTGTGAACTGAAATTGAATGACCTCACATATTCCAACATTTTATTAAAGTTTCAGCTTACATCATATTACTGAAGTTAAGATTCTTCTGCCTTTGTTTCTCTCAAAATACTCTTTGAAATCGAATCAAGCTTTCGAATCATCTCTCATAGTCTTACGAAAAAATTCAGTTGGGAGTAACAAAGAAAACTTTTCTTTTTGAAGGAGGGGGGGGGGGGGCAACTTAAATGCATTGTAACAACAGACATCACAGGCAGAACTAGACTGGACAAATTACCTGGCTGTACATTTGTAACTGCTGGTCTTTGGGGCTTGCTGGTTGCAGGCTGGACTGTAGTCTTATGGTAAAATTTGTGGGGTATACCTCCAGGTTGACAGTTGACAACAACCCACAGTCCAAACAGGACTGTCAAAACTGTAAGTAGTTGTGGATTCATCTCTCAGCACTCACTGGGCTAAATTATGTGCCCTACCCAGACAAGCCCACTATATACCACCAGTTCAAACATGTAAGATACCAATTGATATTATTATGTCTGATAATCTGTAAATTTGATTATGCTATCATTTTGTGGTATGGTTAGAGCTTGGGAACCATAGAGGGTCTTCTGTCTGGGATAACTTTGTAAGTTAATCAGACCTTGGGGGTATTTGTAAGGTGGGATGGCCCTATCATTGCCCATTTACTTGGGCCTTGTAATCGCTATTAATCGGGTAGATAAATTTCATTGACAGGTAGGTCAAGATGCTCTGTAAAGTTTTGGAATATTGCCAGAAAAAAAAAAAAAAGATAGACCCAATGTTTGTCTTAAACTATAACACTTTTTTATCCCCCATTTTGCCTGTTTCTTTCTTTATTATTTCATTTGCTGATTGACCCTAAACATCAAGTCATGATAAATGATAGGTTCGGAGTCCCATCAATTGGTTGCAGAGAACCATGACATACAGCATTTGAGCTAGGTTTTTAACAAGCTATGCCAAGTAAAAAGATTTGTGGACAAAGTTCGCAGAGAAATTTAACTGTACTAAATGTATTTGTTCATTTTATATTACAACCAAAGATATCCCCGGTCACTGCAATCCTGACCATCAGAAAGAAGCATGGGCATTTTTATCCTGCACATTTATGGATGTGCTGATAAATGGAAGCACTTCTATTTCCCCTAGAGTTGGTCCCACACATTAACTTGACTTAGGAAAAGGTTTTGCATGGTTCATCAAATCCCATTCTATTTTATAGATAACATGACTGCTTTTGTCATCAATCAAATGTGGACTTGCATCCATTTTTACTTGAGCACTTAACCACAATGCTGCCCATTTCCAGTAACACAACAGGGGCACCAAGATAAAGGGTGGCATAAGACAAGTTGGTCCATCTAATATCACAAAGCATGAACGACTGAGGGCATTTTGTCTAGATTTCTAGTTTGTAAGTTAAAAACTACTGTGCAGTGTTAACAATCAGCAAAGTTTGATGCAATGCTGCTGCATAGTCAAATTCAAAGGCAATCAGTTCTGTGGTAACATTTAACATTGGATTATTATGATCCAGGCAACCCACGGAGGATACATGTGGTTGCAAAACATTCTTCCAACCATAGGGTTTATTTCCAATGCAAAAGGTCTAACACTTGAACTACTCAGTGTATAGCATTTGCGACCTAATCCAGCAGGAACACAAGTTTGTCCCACTGGATTTTAAACCTACAAGGGCAGCAACACCTACTGGAAACTTGATAGAAATTGTATAAACTTGAAAGATATTACAACCCCACAGGCAACCTATTGCAAGAGCAGCACTACTTTACTGCAAAATTGTACTCAACAATAAGGAAATTCTTTTCATATTTTCAGTTTTTTATTCATTTTTAAATATACATGGCTCAGAATGATATCTGACAAAGGAGATGTATTTCGTTTGTCATTTCATTTTAAAGTCAAAAACCAGCTGGTATTGGTTTACAATCTTCTACCACGACGTCCACCCTTCCTTCTTGTACTGTCTGACGGGATAGGAGTGACATCCTCTGGAAAGAAAAATTCCAAATTAAGAATGGCATAAGTAAAATCTGCCCATCAGAAACTGGTGTGTTTCTGGTGATAACATATCAATTATTCTGTGTGCAAATAATCTTACTTTTATCTCTTTACATTTTAAAAGCACAAATGACCTACTTGTAGCACAATCAGACACTCAACAGATGTTCAACAGGAGGTGGCAACTTTTATAGAATGTCAGACTGAATAATAAACACTACTACAAAACTTTCTTCATGGAATCAAATTACCTATTCTACCAATCTTCATCCCAGAACGAGCCAAAGCTCTTAAAGCAGACTGGGCTCCTGGTCCTGGAGTTTTGGTTCTAAAAATAAATGAATATAGTTCCAATTTAACACACATATTTTTCTTTTCTTCAAGTATAGTGAGAGCAGTCAGAAAAAATTCAGAAAAATTTGCCATAGTAGCTACCCCTTACTAAGTGGGGTTACATATATAATAAATGTATATGCAAAATCAGTGAGTGATTCAAAAACAATTTTCATATCCCAGTTGCTTATCTTGACATTAACATTTCTTTCATACCTGTTACCACCAGTGGCTCTGAGTTTGATGTGCAGGGCAGTGATGCCCAAAGTTTTGCACTTTTCTGCTACGTCCTGAGCAGCCAACATAGCAGCATATGGGGAAGCTTCATCACGATCTGCTTTTACTTTCATACCACCAGTTACACGGGCAATGGTTTCTCTGATATAAGAAAAATTGAATACTCATTCACAGAAAAGAAAATGTTATTTCACAATAGTAATAAAAAGCACCCCTAGACTTCGAAATATTATTATTAATATTATTATTATAACCATACTGGTGTCGGAAGGAGGATTAAAGATTTGTTAGAAACTGCCTGGATTGACATATTCAATTTAAAGGCACATCCTCATTTTTCTGCCCTATATATTAAAAGGGTATTAGAGAAAGGGAAAATCTACTCACTTTCCAGACAAGTCTGTAACATGTACAAAAGTATCATTGAAGCTTGCAAAAATGTGCGCCACTCCAAACACATTTTCCCCTTCTAGGGCCTGAGGACCCAAGGCAACCTTTTCTTCCACCTGGGTTTTGCCTTTGCGTGGAGCCATTCTGCAAACACAGCAAGAACATACACTTATATATTTGAAAAAAATTGATTTATGTAAAAAAAACCTCAACAAAGAATCACATACTAGATAAGAATTGGCATCACCGTCAAATCAAAGCCAATATCACCTGAAATGTACATTGGGGCTGTGCTCGTAAAAAGTTTTTTAATCACATGAACTGCATTGGTGATGTGCATTTAAGGCAAAATAGGAGACACCACGCATGATTATGATTTTTTCAATTTAATTAAGATTTAAGAAAAGGTTGCTGACTTCTTTCATGATTATACCTAATGTAGACATTCAGTCACTGATGCGGTGATGAACACTGACCAATATATAAACAATCTTCACCAGTTACACGGGCATGAACATTCGACCGTATATAAACAACCTTCACACATGAAAATCTGTAAGCATTTTCACAACTGTACAAGATTAACTGCCGCAGCGTCATGCAATCAAGACATTGTCCTGCAGGCACTGTTACATGTTTTGGTAAGGCACACTAGTAAAACCAGTACGTATTAGAGATAGATGGCCAGTTTCACGCTAATATATTTCAAATGGCTTCTCTTGGCGGCCTAAAAACCATTATATCTTAAATATCACACTTATATCCATTGCTTTATATAAACAAACTCTTTGGAAACACTTTCGTGGATACAGATGAAACGGATTTTAATATTGGCTTTAATATTCACAAACCTAAATAAAGTATGGCGACCGGAAAGAGAAAGAAGTGCCGCGAGAAATTGCGCGAGTACGGTGTCCACCGGAACTTGGCGGACACTCCCGATTCGGAGTCATTTGTTTTTGTTTTCTGCAGAGAGCGGCGATGAAGGTAAGCTCTATTTTTTCCTCAGAAACGACTTAAATTCCCCTCTGTTACACTTTTCTCACTATAAGCAAATTAATAAGTCTTTGGTGTACACATTTAGCCAAAAATTATAATAATCAATGTTTTGGTTTAAGGATAATTTTGGACAGAAAATCGAGTGACCGAGATTGACCTGAAGCCACACTGTGACTTGAGGACAGCGAGTGCAGTCTCTTTGTCCGGCGCTGAGTCGACTAGAGGGGTATTATGGACTTCATGTTCGACTGGGATGGAGAAGCTGATCGGTTTTCCTTTGAAGATAGTGATCGGTTCGATGACGACTCGTGCTCATGGCTGAGCGAACCGGAGAGTCTGTGTAACAACTGGAGAGGCTGGAAGAAACAAAATGGTGGTCAGATTCAAGGCGGAGCAGAAGGTAAAGACGGCAACTTGAAGAAACTTTTAATTACATTCTGTTTCTGTTTGTTTTTGGGGAGAAACTGCCTTTCATTTATTTACCTCTTCGTGAGACTTAAACCTAGGTATGGTTTACATCTAAAAATTTTGTCCATTTTGAAGTTTGCCTGGCGATGCGAACAGCTGGCAGCCATTAGTCTTTGTTTCTTTCAACTCTACTCTGCATCGGTTACACACACATCAGCATTACTGAATATGATGCACATTCAAATTGATTTCAGATTCACAACACAGAACAAGACATTGACTTATGAATTTTTTATTTGCAATTGTGCATAAGATTTTGTTGACATTTTTACTGTTTGTTTTCCCAGAGTTGTTAAATGCAAAAATTATGATATTCAAATTGAATAAATGGGATAAAACGGGAATACTTAGTTTAGAATCAATACTTAACTTAAAATGATTGTCATTTTATAAAAAGAAAAGTAGTAGTCTATTCATAAAAGTTACATCCTCTTAAAGGCTTAATTGTGCAGTAAGTATAAGGCAGTTCTTCAGAAAAAAATTAATAATAGTTTGAAAACAGTGATGTATTTCTAAAACTATTTCCTTACTTGAATAGCCAAGTCTGGGTACCAGTGAGTAAATCAAATCCACATGTAATGTCAGCAAACTCAAAAAAGCGACACTGAGACAGTTATAGATCTACTGTTTTACTTCTTAAAAATTAAAGGAAAATCATCAAATAAGTATTTTATAGACAAATACATATATTTATCTTTTTATCATATATACTACTGGCTCTGAACTGATGAATTAAATACACGTGCATTGTGGTATATTATGTTGAATAAATGTAATTGGGGTATGTGTGTTATCTGATTGACAGTTAAGATAGTCATCAGTTCGACTACGAAAGAGGGACAGGTGTCAGATAAAGTCAGATTCCCTTGTCATCTGGTTCTCATTGTTTGTGTGAAAACTACTGGCATAATTTTATTTTTATATTCAACAACTTTAACATTTAATTTCAGGTAGTTATGTCTCAGTTAATTAACACCTGTAAAATTACTATATATGCTAACTTTAGTCCTTTGGAGAAAAAAGGCATTTTGAGAAAATATTCATAGCTACTTTGGCCTGCTTGTAAGAGTTTTTTTTTATGTTTGCAAAAGCATTGTTACAAAGAAAGTCAACTGAGGTCAAGATAATTATACTGTAGCAAAGGTTAATAGGGTTACAAAGAGTTAATAGATAAGAAAAAGAACATAAAGATTAGGTATTTAAGAGTGTTAAGTTAGACGTAGGTGCAGCTGGTTGAAGGTGACTATCATCTACCTTCTGGTGATTATTGGACAAAATTAATGGCAATCATTTGTCCTCTGGTTGACCCTGATATTAGTTGCCAGCTTGTCAATAGAATGATATCTGTCACAAAGACACAGACATGTTGTTTTAAAACCCTTTTCCTGTGCTTGAAGAACACCTTTACTTGTGATCTGCATGCCTTGTGAATACTCTTTGGAGCTGCAGAAAAAAGCCCTGATCATATTGAACATATCATGTAACGTTGTTTAAGTGATATTTGACAACAACTTAAATATCTTTTTGTATCTGTATTAATTTGAATCAGGGGACATTATTAATGATGCAGAAAATTGTAAGTTTTTCAGTAATTTTGTTTTTGTTATCTTCTACCCTGTAAATTCACTATCTAGAATAGTTCAAATATTTTGGTTAATATAATGAACATTTCCTAAAACATCAGACGGGGTAAGATGCACACATATCCATGTATGAAACAAAAACAAAGCAAGTACCATATTCATAAAGATTTTGAATGCCAAGATAGTAATTGGACATCTTACAAACAAGATAAGGGCCTGTTCAATTTTAATGGATCACCCTCCACAAAATTGCTTCTCTTTTATATTTGTGTGAGGCCCCAATGTTTTAATATATATCATTAATGGCAAACTTATTTTATGAGCGTTGATTTTTTTTCTTAAAAAGCCTCTGCCTGAAGAAGAATAATTCTTTGTTGAATGAATGAACGTTGACAGCTATTTATATGTCTGTACAATACATGATATGATACAATATATGGTATGTCTTTAAATGTCATCGAGGTTTTTTTCCATCCACCTGCATGAAAGAAGGGATAATTGAGATTTGTTACATTAACAGTTTACATAAGCTTTCCTGATGTAATGAGACCCATGTGAAGCTCAGTTTACACCTTAAAATAGGTGTATGGATAGACTGGTTCATTTAGGGAACTGATAATGCAAATGAAATGTGAGAAGAAAATTTATCCCCTTTTTTTTCGGGGGGGGGGGGGCGCTTTTTAAACATATTTCAACACTGAACTATTGATACCCAGCTGATATATGTCATTTATTTTTTTATTCATTTTTTTAACCTGGCTCATGTAAGAGTTCCAATTATCCTTAAATAATCTAACAGAAGACATAGCCAGCTTAAGGAAAAGTTAAGTTCTGGCTGTTCTTGTAGAGAAAAACAAAAATTAAGAATTAACTCCCTTTGTCATTAAATAATTTTGATTAAACTTTGGTTTTGCTTTGACATAATCATTAGTCTCTTCATCACATTTGTGCAGGAGAGAAAGTGTGTTCATTGGTGGAGTTAGCTTCCAAAGGAGTTGCTTGTCACATTCCCTTTGAGGTAGTGGAGCACTTTTACCCACCCATTCCAGAGCAATTGCAATTGCGTATTGCCTTTTGGAGCTTCCCAGAAAATGAAGAAGATATAAGGTAATTCAACAAGTTCTTGGATCATCCAAGCAGAATTTAATGTGGATCTAATGAGTGGTTCTTATGACTGATTTTTTTTCTGTTGGATTAAGTCATGGGTTGCATGCATCTTATTGCACCTTGAATATTTTCTCTTGGCAATCAACTCATCTTAAATAGTTGTATTTGATTGTCATAGTTCTTTTCTATACAAGTTCAGATAAGACATAATGATAGCACTTTCAATACTCATGCTTTTTGTGATGCAATGGCTAAATATAACTGAATGTTTCTTGTTCTTCTTACCTTTTAATGGACTGTCAGAGGATTTTGTTCCAGTTAATGTTGCTTTTTCCCCCAAAGTAATTTACCAACATGCCACACTTACTGCTGCGTAGATTAGATTTCTAAGACAAAGCATGCATGTACAATTTGGTTTTAGTGCTCATATTAATTTGTATCTTTGTAGGCTGTATTCCTGCCTTGCTAATGGCAGTGCAGACGAGTTTCAAAAGGGAGATCATCTTTATAAGGCCAAAGCAGTAAAAGATGCACTTCAAATAGGTAAGGAACTGTATAAATACAAATATATATACAGTCTGTAAATAAAACATTGCTTCTCTCTTCAGACTTCTTTGCATTTTGGATACTCATGTTTATTTCCTTTTCAGGGTTTCATTTGAGTGCCACAGTTATTCCCCCTCAAAGTGTTGGCCAGACCAAGGGCTCCTTCAATGTGGCTGTAATGTTTGACCGTAGGAGGATAACATCCTGTAACTGTACTTGTAACAGCACTGCATCATGGTGTGCCCATGTGGTAGCCTTGTGTCTCTTTAGAATACATCAGGTGAGACACCCTACAGTTACTCTCTCTCTCTCTCTCTCTCTCTGTATTGATAAAGTTTATTATAGGTAAATGCCCTGTTTCTGTTTGTGTAACATATTTTAACTTTAATTCTGAAAGAAAGATTGACTTTCTTTGTCACTTTTGGTACTTTTTTTTAGAATTTAAGATTGTAATTCAAATTTTTAATGAATACCCTGTAACTGTTCAAACAAATGGATACCTTTGATACAGAAGTAGTGGAATTGTTGGTAACTCTGCTGCCTCTTTTTTAAGATCAAATGCAGTCTAAGATATATGAAGTAAGGAGTGGCCATACTGTTAAAATGAAACCTTTGTAAGAGCATATTTAATAAACATTGATAATATTTTAGGCCACATCAGTGTGTCTGAGGGCTCCAGTGTCAGAGTCTTTATCACGCTTACAGAGAGATCAGTTGCAGAAATTTGCTCAGTATCTTATTAGCGAGTTACCTCAACAGGTAAGCACTTCTCATAATTTTTTAATACCTTGAAATATATCATCTAATGGACTGGCTTAATATCATTAAACTTTATAATCTACATATCTTTTTAATGGCATAAAAATAATCTGGCTGAGCAATTAGGAGCATTTAACTGATTTCATTTAGCATGAATGCGACAATTCAGTAGTATATGCACAGGAAGTATAGACATTGAAAGGTATACTTCTGTTTGAAAAGTGTCAAAGCCATATTATCTGTGTCTGTATATATGGCAAAGCTACATATCTTTTCCCATTCAAACCTTAAATACAATAGAAACCCACAAATAAAAATCTGCAATGTTGATATTTCCATCTGAAATTCAGAAACACATTGCATTCTCATTAACTGGCTACTTATTTAGAAATAAATCATTTTAATTACATCTACCAAGGAGGTAATGTTTATGATTGAAAAGCCAGCTTGATTGTATTTTTTTCTTTAAATTATGCAATTTTATGAAATTTTTATTTTTTCACATATAAGCATTTTTAGCATGTGACTTTGTAATTCCGTTGGACTGAACCCCTACACTTCATTTGTTTTCTGAATGTTGATGTTACTTCTGGTACATAATTGAAAATTGGTGGTAATTATGTGATAAATCATCACAAAATATTGCAACAAAATTGACAAAAAAAAGCAATAAGGTTCATTATTTTCTGCTTCGTGTCTGTACATTTGACAGATTTGCTGCTTTGTTTGCAAGGTTATATCTTTCAAGCAGGAAAATCTCCCAGGGAGGATACCTTTTAAACTATTAGAATAAAGAGTTAACTTGCACAAACTTTGTTTTATGTTCAGATCCTCCCAACAGCTCAGAGACTTCTTGATGAACTCCTGTCATCACAGCAGAATGCGATCAACACTGTGTATGGAGCACCAGGTGAGACATGTGCCTGTCTCTCTTTCAATTTCTGGTTCATATTTTCTTTTTAATTTTCAAGGTTGCCTTATTCATTGTTATTCAGTATTCAAAAAAGAAATGGACTATTATGGTAAAAAGAAAACGAGACAAAATTCACTGTGGATTTGTGATGGTTAGCCAGTGTTAAGCAACCTTCACTCTGTTGGCCTGCAAAGTCATAAATTATGAGTTTTTGTATTATTTTTCTAACAATTTTTTAATATTTATCAGGATTAAGTAAACACTATTACTTTTCATTAATTAACCCAAGTGTTTAACTGTATATTTGACTGTGTTTTTATTTTCATTTTTTTGTTATTATTATTATTTTTTTTAAATTCAGATCCCACAGCAGGCCCTTCAGCAAGTGAACATACTGCTTGGTGTCTAGATGAGACAACTCTGCGACAAAATATAAGAAAAACATTGGCCAAGTTCAGTTTGACTACCAACATGGTGTATAGGTCTGTAGTTCACTTTGCGTACCTGATTATTTTTTGTAAAAAAAATTTTTTTTTGGATCTTAAAAAATTGAAATATTACAAGATAGAAAGTAAAATCTTGTGTTGACCAAAATCGGACCACGCTTGTCTTTGATAGATTTTTTTACTAAACTTCTTTGTATATCAATCAAATTGTGATGATGCTTATATCAAAATCTTTCATTATGCACCAGATTGCTTAATACAAATCTTGTAATTTCTTTTCCAGTGATGTTAATTATCTGTCATCTACTGCACCCCCTGCTGCAGCCGAGTACCAGAGTCTCCTGAGACCTCTGCGTGGGCGTGAGCCAGAGGGCATGTGGAACCTGCTCTCCATTGTAAGAGAAATGCTGCGCAGGCATGACAGTAATGCTGTTCCTTTACTCGAGATCTTGACTGAGGAGGTCCTTGCCTGTGAGAATGTGAGTTACTGGCAGTTTTGATAATAAAGTTTTATCTGTTGGTTTCAGTATATGGTGTTGTTGGTGTAATTTGCACTTTTTGTGAAATGTTATAATGGATTTTCATTATTGATGAGGCAAGTGTGCTTTTTGATTCTGGAGTGTGTATCTTTCAAGAGAATTTGAGAATATTGTTAACCCCAACAATTTTCATGCATGAATCTGTAGGAAACTGAAAATCTACATCTGTAAAATACTCTAAAAAATTAAAATAGATATATTTATTTTCCGCACTAGATACTGGCCTGGTGGTTTAGCACCAAGATATCAGCCTCTCACAACAGCAGCAGTGGGCACAACAACCGTGGCGCTGGTGCTTCCAGCTCTTCACAGCATGCAGGCTCCAGTCTGTGCGATGAGATCGTAGCTCTGTGGAGAATGGCTGCACTGAACCCGAAGTTGTCTTCCATTCAGAGGGATGACTTCAACATTAAGTTCAAGGACTGGCACATAAAAACAATTGATAAAGTGAGGAAAACAAGAGGGAATAGTGCAGCTGCTGGAACAGTTGGTCCGTCGGTCATCAACTCAGGTGCTATAAAAAAGAATGACATTGAAATCTTCTCAGGGTTCAAGCCAGCCATTGAAGCTTGTCAGTTGGATTGGACAGATTACCACATTGCAGGGGTCACCTATGTGGAGAAAGACATAATGCACTCGATGTGTTTGCAGCGTTCAATCACCACTGGTGGTGCTAGTAGTAATATAAGTAGTGCAGGTATTCACAGCGATCAGGTAACAAGGTTAGCAGTTGATACACAACATACTTCACATTCTCTCCACCATCAAACTGTGGAGAAATCCTCATCTCAGGGTAAAGCAGTGGTAACAACCACTGACTTCTTTACTGGTCATGTCAAAGCTGACAGGGCTGGAAGTTCAAGCTCAGAGGGGTTCAGTGAAAATCTAAAAACTGACCTCTTGCTCAATGGCCGTGACTCGGATTCCAGTCTTCCAGACGAGACTGCCACAGCCAGCATACGGAATGGTATGCATAGTCTCTGCGTGGATGCAGGAGCTGCAAAGGATGGCTGTTCTTCTGTAAATGTAAATGCCATTGATAGGATCAGAGCAGATGACATTGACTCTGATGGTTCTGGGCCTGGCCCATCAACTTTTAAAGTGAATGACACCAACCCTGAGCACCCACTAGTTGAGGGTGCACAGGCTCTGGATGTGTACCAGTCTGAATCGCAACAGTCCAGTGACGAGTATCAGATGTACTTCTATGATCCTAAATCTAGATTTCAAGACTTTGGGAAGAAAGACAAGAAATCTGATGAACCAAATTACTTTGCTGGTATTAGGAAAATGGACAATCAGCAAGAGGTATATTTTAAGCATTATAACAATGAACTGTGTTATGGATAATACTTGGCAAAAATTTTGCTGGCTGAATGTTTTACTTTGCATTACTTGAATTTTTTTAAATTTACATTGTGTATTTACTTCTTGGTTATTTATTTATTTCATCTATATATTTTATTTTTTATGAGAAATGTTTTGCAATACTAGTGTCTGAAGTAAAAATCAGAAATGAGTTATGTTGAATTGTTTAACAGACATACAAATTAATAAGCTATTCATTATTAAGTTAATGATTAAAACACTTTCAACCTTTTTTATTGCTTTTTAGATTTTATTCTGCAGAGCTGAAGCTCTGTATGCTCATGGCCATAGCTTTGCATGTAAATTAGCAAAGCAGTTGGCTGAGAAAATGTTGGCCAACCCACCTGATGTTTGTGGGGAACAAAGTCAACAAAATGGTAAAGGTCAGTATAGCACAGGGGGTAATCATAGTTATACTATGTTTTGTAAGTCATTATGTTAATTTTCATTTACTTGTAACTTATTCTTAGTGTACAGAAACCTTGGGGGTCTTGAATCTTTAAAACTTATGAAAGGAGTTTTAATATCAGAAGGATGCAGACAACTACAGATTGCACCAGTTTAGTTGTGTATACTCCATGCCTTACGATTAACTGACACTTGTTAATACTTATCTGTTCTAGGTAAAAAGAAGAAGCACCAGAACAACACAAGCTCCTTTGCCAGCACCACCTTGGCTAAGGCAGCCTTTCTGTGTAGTGTTCTCCTAGAGGACCCAGAGTGCCACCACCTGGCCTTCAAGGTGGGCATGTTTGGACTGGAAATGCCCAGGCAACCTGCTGCCAGCAAGGCACTAGAGGTCAGTCACACTTGTTTTCTGTTTGTAGGTATTGGGTGGTTAAAATAAAGTCAGACGTGGTGTTGAATGGGTAATAGTTGAGTTTGTGCTTTTTATGATTTGAGTTCTTTAATACAGTGGTGCTTAAAGTGGCGAGATTTGTATTACACCTTTTTCATGCTCATATGTTTTTGACAATCATAAACCTTCGGCTTTCACATGGGATTAAAGCATTGATATAATAGCATTGTGCCCCCTTTGCTGTTTTGAGATAATCACACATCTTTTTAAGTTATTTGTAGTATACATGAATAATATTTACAGTTTGATGTTTGCACTCAATTTTTGTCTGTGTATAATTGTTTGTTACTGCATTTTGAATTGTTACCAAAATTTCGTCACATAATTCATGTATTTGTGTATATGAAAGTCTCTAGTAGATTTTTTACATGTATGATTGACCTTGATATTTTTCAAATATTTTGGCAAGATTTTATTTTTAAAAAGCATGTGTTTGCATAGGTATTTCATAATATTTATCATTGCTTATGTTTAGATTGTCAAATATATATACTTACAGGTGAAATTGGCCAACCAAGAGTCTGAACTTGTGACCTTATTGAAGAAGATCCCCCTTGGTCCAGCAGAGCTGAATGTGATCAGGGATAGAGCCGAGCAGCTCAGGGATGGGAAACTCAGATCAAGGGGAGAGGCCTTGTTGCCTCTCATGTTGGCTAGCTTTATCTTTGATTCACTTTGTTTACCAGGTAAGATAATGAACACACATTGTATATACAAAAGAAAAACACCTTCAGAAGGGGGGGGGGGATATGGGAAACTTGATCAATTTTTCCTACTTTTATTTTTTGCTTACATCACAAGGCTAGTTAAACTTGGGCATTAATTCTATGAACAATGTGTTTGCAAATCTTCTATCGGTAAATTAATTTAAGATAATGTTGTCAGATAAACCTAAGAGTCTCATAGTATACCATTCCTTCACTTTCAGTTATACCTGTGAATGGAGCCAACACCAGCAGTCGACCTGCTTCAGGGAATGGGCCAATGCGCTTGCCTACTGATGAAAAATTGGGCTTTGAAGCAGCAACAGCAGCACTTGGTATGTGTATAATACATGATAAAAACTAGCTGGAGACAGGGACTCCTATCTTTAAGATGATCTTGGCTTTGATGGTAAAATAAGTGTATGATAAATTAAGATCTTCAAATTTCAATCATGATCATTTACGTATCCATATCACGATTTTATAAGACTGTTGGGCAAAACTTGAATGTGGTGTTTACAGCTTAGAAGGACCACAAGTCTGGAGTTAGATGTACCTTTAAGTTTGCTATATTTTGCACATCCAGGACTAAAAGCAAACATCTCCGAGGCTGAGCATCCCCTGCTATGTGAATGTACCAGAAGACAGAGAGGGGACCTGGCCATAGCCATGCTGGTCCACTATAAGGATGACCCAATTAAATTGTCCAAAGTAAGGCTTTTACAGAATGAAATACTTTACCCGACTTTTTTTCTATTACCCTCAAATAGTAAAGTATATTTGCATTTAAGTTTCTTTATATAGGATAACAGATAAAAAAATTTATAAATTATTTTTCTCAGGAAACAACATAGAGCAGAAGGAAAAGAAAAATTTTAAATTATGGTTATTTCTTTCAGATCATGGACAAGATATTGGATCGTGAGATCCATCAGCACTATAAGGCTCCCCCTCTTCACACCTACCTCACCAAGTCTAACCAGCGCAGTGGATCTGGGGCAGGCAGTGGTCACCCCAGTAGTAGTGGGGGCACTAGTAGTGTCCACTGTCCACAACCTCCTGGGGGAGAGCCTATGGGTCATTTTGTGGATGACCAGGGAAGATCATCTTCATCGGGAAGAGGGAATGGTGATGCTGCAGCAGCTTTGGCTAATGGAGGAGGTACAGTATTGTTTGCAGGTTTGGGGTTGAATGTAAAAATGTTTGTGAGTGAGTTAAAACAGTTTTACAGTTATGGGTTATCTAAAGTATTTAAAACATCGTCAAACAAGACTTAATGGGTGATCTTAATTGTTTAAAACATTGAAAAACAATTTTGTTCTTAATATTCTTGTATCTTTGGATCTTGATTTATGATCGCATTGATGATCACGCATGTTACCCAGCTGACAATGCATTCAATTTTTGTGAAACTTGAAGAGAATTTTCTCATTGACTGATTTCATCTTGTCTTCAGATCCCAGTTCCCATGCTAGCACCAGTGGCAACTGGTCTAGCCTGCCCATGTCTTCAGGCTCCCAGAGACTGGACTATCTCAACCTGGAACATACCCCACACACTGGGCAGAATGGGACACAGGTTAAGGGGGGTCTGGTTAGAAACTATAAAAGGTACATATTGAACATTTTTGACTCTTTTCTTTAAGATAAGGTTTTATCAAATACTTAAAACTTGTAAGTTAAATCATCTATGAAATGTTAATTTATTTGATGATGAAATTGTTGTCATAGTAGTATGGAGTGGAGTTGTTAAAATGGAAGGCAGGCTATTGAAAATCTGTTTTGAGTTGCCTTTTGTTCATGTGAGTCATTATCATGTTTGAAAATTTATCATAAAATTTTGTTTTTGATTTGCATTAGTGGTGGAATGGATGATGATAGCTCTGCCCTTGAAGAAGATGAGTACAACTGTAAAGATTGGGAAGCTAAGTTCAGGAGTTCTATACTGAAAACAAACAAGAAACCATCTGCAGGTAAGTCTTTCTGATCACTTAATGTACCTTAAAACCTCCAATGTGATATTAAGATAGTGAAACCTTTGTTGTGACAATTAAGTCAAGTTCTGACAAATATATGATAAGATATATTATGAAGTAATTACTTCTTGTGAAGAAGCAGAGAATAACACACTGGACATAGCCTTAGGTATGAATTGTTTGTGTTCTAGGTATGGCCAGTATTGATAGCAGTGCTCCAGAGACCACGTCCAGTGACAACTCCCCAACCCTGGTGCGTCGTAACTGGGGCAAGCACCAGGGACCTGGGAGTGACAGTGGCAGCAGCGGGAAGAGTTCAGATTCCATAGGCTCCAGCAGTTCAGGGGACAAGGGAAGGGCAAAACTTAGAGATAACGAGAGGTAGGCATCTAGGTTTTGATAAATTAAGTGTCTTTGCTGGATTTTCTTTCATGTCCTTGGTTCATAATCGTGAATTCATTGCAAGGTTTTTAATGTTAATAAATACACAATATTATAAGCAGTTGATTTTTTACTTTAATAAATAACAACAGTTCCTTGTAACCTTGATTTTTTGTAGTGGGAAATTTTAATGCCCAGCTGCATTTTTTACTTCACTGTATGCTAATGTTTGGAATAACAGCAATTTAGGTCTTGGTTGCTGGAACAATAAAAAAGGATAGGGATTTTTTCATATACTTTTCCTTAAAGTTGAATCAATTGTTACATGGTTATCATATATATATGATATGGTTCATTTCAGCCCTCCTCTGATGTATACCAGAGCTGGGCCCAGCATGCTGGTGGATTCCCGAGGACTGTCACCTAGTATTAAAGGAAGGTAGGAACTTCATTGAGTTTTTTTTTTTCTTTCTTTTATTATTTTTTTTTTTTTTTTGGTTAGCTTTTCCACAATGCTTTTGTTGCTGTTTGTTAACTTTGCTTTCTTTACATCAATATCTTGATGGAAATCAGATTTTGTAAATGATGGCTCAAAAAAGAAAAAAATATGTGCTGTCAAATATTTGTGTTTTTCTTTTGGACATTGATTGTCAATATTAAACTTACCCTTCTTTCCATTTCCATTTCAGATATAAAGGCAAGAACAGGGTGGTCCCAACCCTTCCCAACCAGCCCAGTGAGGCATCTGCACACTTCATGAATGAGCTGGCCAAGACAGTTCTGGCCAAGGCAGGAGGCACCAGCTCCACTTCATTGTTTACTCAACCCAACAACAACAACCCTACTGGACCTCATAGGGCACTCCACATCTGTGCATTCCAGATAGGGCTGTATGCTCTGGGGCTGCACAACTGTGTGTCTCCTAACTGGCTGTCCAGAACATACTCCTCACACGTGTCCTGGATTACAGGTAAGTGACCATTGGCCAATGTGGCAGTTAATGTTGGGTTTTTATGGTCAGGGTCATTAATTTTGCAGTTTCAACTCCATGCCATTAAGTATGTATTTTCTTGAGTAATTTTTTTGAAGGGAAATAATTGATACAACATAGAAATTGAGATTCAGTGCCTCTATCTTAAAAATTTTATATATGAACATTGGTTTAAATAGATAGATGACAGGGTAGATGACAGGAAAAAAAGATTTGAATATGAATATTGTTAAAATTTCAGGTCAAGCCATGGAAGTGGGCAGTGTTGCTATTCAGATTTTGATTGACACCTGGGAAGGTCACCTGACACCGCCAGAGTGTGCCTTATTGGCTGATAAAGCATCAAGGGGCCGAGACCCGAACATGGTCCGCGCTGCTGCAGAGCTGGCTCTGTCCTGTCTCCCACATGCTCATGCATTAAATCCGTCTGAGATTCAACGTGCTTTGATACAATGCAAAGAACAAAGCAGAGAAAAACTAGAAAAGGCATGCAATGCTGTAGAGCTTGCGGCAAAAGATGGCGGTGTTTACCCAGAGGTATTATTTGATGTTGCCCGTAGGTGGTATGAATTGTATGAAGAAGCAGTACAGGAGGCGTGCACTGCTCTGCCTATTACAGAGGCATCTGTGGTTGCAGCAGAGGAGAATGCAATGGTTGCAGTACAGTGCAACCCAGCACAGAACATAGAAAGGACTAGTCCACCTATTCCAGTCCAGGTTGTTGCATTGAGCCAGGCTGGAGCCATGGCTCAGGTACCAGTAACTTTACCATTACATTTACACTACACTATATCATCAGCCACTAGTCCTCATCCTCACCTGGCTCATCAACATCACACATATGTACCTTATGTACATCAAGTCCATCCACATCCAGGGTTCCATCATCACTATACTCAAGCCCATGTTCCCATTCACGCCCATACTATGCATCCTGGCTATCTAGCGGCATATGGCTATCAGAATCAGCAAGCACCTCCATATGCAGGGCTGGCTCACATACAAAATCTCCAGCCCAGCTCAACTGCAGTATACACTGTGCAGTCATCTACAGGGAACCACCAGGTACAGTATGCTACCAACCAGGTGGTGCACGCGGTCCACACCAGACCAAACCAAATCCATCCGGTCCAATCTGTGGACACGTCTCAGTATTTGCCGACCACAATGACAACCAGTGGCCTGGCTGCTGTATCTCAACAACAGCAACAGCCACCCACGTCAGCAGCCATGCAGCACAACTCCACACAGATGAACTATTCTTTGGTGGCTGCATACAGAGTGGGCATGCTAGCCATGGAGACACTAGGGAGGCGTGTACATGATGATCGTCCACAGACTAAGTATGCAAGGAGTCCTCCATATGGGGAAGATGTCAAATGGTTGCTGCAACTGGCCATCAAATTAGGTAGGGTGATAAATTGTTTTTACCCAAAAGGAATTGAATACAGATGTTTAAATATATTGAATGGAGAGGTGTGTTTTTATGTCATTTAATCCTTTATCTGTGTTTAATAAGTATTTTGCAATAAAATGATGACTATTTTAGCAAACATGAATTTAAGAGTAGTGTATTGAAACCTAATGCACTTATTTCTCTTCTTGTCTAAGCTCATCACCTTGACCTTATTCCAGGTACCAGCCACCTCCAGCAGTTCTGTGCTACCACTGTTAATGCCGTGGTCAGTCCATTTGTCCTGCAGGACATAGCCCTGGAAGCAGCCCACTATCTGGCCAGAAACAACCCAACTCAAGTGTCAGCTCAGCTGCGCTCTCCAGTTCTTAATTCTCTGGTTCAGAAGTGCCTACAAATGTGAGTTGAATAACATGCCTCCCCCCCCCNTGAGTTGAATAACATGCCCCCCCCCCCCAATGAAAATCTAAATGCTTTTTATCCTTAAGTAATGTGTGAACAATAAGTAGAGTGAATGCACACGTTTTCTGTAACTTAAAGGACATTGAGAAGTGACCACAAAAAACCAAGCTTTCATGGCTAAGCAAGATGAATTCAAAAAATAAACATCTCATACATGAAAATTTCTAGTTGTATCTTTACACTTCTTTATATAGATATATAATAGACAAGGAGAACTGTCTTGGGTTGAGATAAATTTCTTTAAAGGATCATTGACTTTTATGCTTGTTTGAACTGTTCTTCACACTCCACTTTATACCTAACAAAGCTTGCACATTTTAATCTCTCATTACCCTCCAGTGATTTAATGATGTGTTGACGTTATTAATTTCCAGGTTTATTCAGTGTGCTCATCAACGTTTGCACCACATTACACCAAATGACTATGATGAATTTGTCAGCATCATCTGCATAGCAAGGAATGCTTTCTGTATGTCTCCCGGGGGGATGGTACAGTTTAACGAGCTGTTACAGAGCCTACGCCGTGCAAAGTCATGCAAGAAAGAACTGTGGCAACGAATTGTAAGTGGATTAGCCACTGGTACAATCCAATAAGGAGATTAGACTGTAGAAAAATCAGATACAGTATTATATGTTATAGGTTTAAAGAATAACTTTGGTAAAAGTGGAAAGTATGGGTATTTTTCATACCATTTATTCATTTAATGTATTCACAACTGAACATCTTGAAATAGAGGTTGCACTCTTGGGATGAATTAAATCAGAGTAAGATAAACTACCTCTTTTTAAAAACAATTATTTGTTCCTTAATCTAGGGGAAGATGGATCTATTTTAAAGTATTTTTATTTCAATTTATTTAATTATTTATAATCATCATCATTATTATTGTTATTATTATTATTATCAATTTTATATTTTTTTAGATAATAGAAATTTTTATTTATGATCCTTTCTCACATATAGATGTCACCAGGTGATCATCCCTACACCAGTGGTTGATACCACCAGAAGTCAGATTTAATTAATAGTGTCTCACTTGCCGTTAGTTTTTTCTTGTGCATAATTATCAGCACAAAGATTTTTTTCTTACGGGCAACAAATGTTATCTTTTCTTTAAAGAAAGGGACTAAGGCATACAGATATTTGTTAGAAGAGATTTTGAGCTGAGATGAACGTCATGAGTGAAAAAAAAAAAAAGACTGAGTGATTGTGTTCCAGCATGTGTATTCATGAAGTCAAAACCTTCATTTTAGTTTTGATTTTTGTTTAACATAAGATATTCATATTCATTGTTTAAGCACAAAAATGGCCAAAATAATGGCTAGATCATTGAAGCATGGTGAACATTGATTGATTTAGTTAAAGTGCAGTGTTTGGGAAGCGTGTTATTTTGTGGTATATTGTCTGTTGAAGGAGATTTTTTGTGTTTTTCTTTAAAAGGGTAAGTTGTCTTGTATATAAATGGCTCTTTTCTGTAAAATCACACACTTAAAAAAACAAAATGCACGAAAAACTGTAACATCCATTTTATTTTATTTTATTTTAAATTAGATTCTCCTTCAAAAATGAGAAGAGAGGTTTTGATGGTGTAAAAAAATTTAAGGCAACATGCATGGCTAACTTATCTGAGAAAATAATTCTAACAACAAGAAACACAAGTATTTAGGACCACCTACTGTTTGTATTATTGAAGTTTAAAGTGTTGGATATGCATAGAAAATGTTTTTATTGGTATTCTCCCCTCCGAAATTGAAATTCATTGAAGAATGATTTAGATATTCAAACCTATTGGAAATCGTAAGGTAATGTGCTTGAATTTTTTGTTGTCCATATTGATAATCTATATGTTTATATGATGAGATTTATTGATTTTGGGTATGAAATGAGTACAAGAAAGAGTAGGCAGCACATCTGTATAGAACTACATGCATCTAGCTTCTATATAGTTAAGCCAGATTATCCTTTGGTAACACACGGCTGAGATATCCAAATTTAATTTCATCTGTAGTAAGTCTTGTAACATAATCCCTGAAAGTAGTTATGTATGAATGACGTCATTGTGTCCTTGTTATTATATACATATATATTTATTATTATTTGTGTGATATTCTGTGTTCTGAACATCAGTAAAAAATTGAATCCAAGCAGAAGACCTGGCTTAATTCATTGAATAAACACCTTTGCCATGTCTTAAACACGTTTTTTTTATACTCTGAAGGTATTAAGAAAAAGATGGTCTTTTTACCGTAATAACGGTAAAGGGATTCATTTTTATTCTTTTTAAGTTGCTTAGTTAATATTTTACGAAAGACTTCATAACAGACAAAAATCAAAAACTACAAAGTCATAAGTCATTTATTGGTGGTTTCATATAGCAGCGAAACGTCTTCCGCTCTTTCACACCTGATGTAATTTGGAATCGGTGCGCTGAATAACTAATAATAAATTGAATAAATTGATAGTAATAAACAACGCGCTAACAGTTAAAATATCGCCATCTCAAGCATGTGAAAAGTGTTAAAAGTGCTCTGCATAATGAATAACCCAGCTGTTTTTCCTCCATTGCTTCAAATCATTTTGCAGATTAATCAAAATCAGATCTTTGTGAAGTTAGTGTTTTGAAATGTATGCGTGGTCTTGTCGCTGTGATTTTAATTAACATATGAACTTTTATTAATTTTTTTCTGATTCCACGAGAAAAATTCAGAGTAAAAACAACAGTAGTTGGCAATTTTGTATATTTATACAATCAGAAGCAAATGAAGCCAGGTATTTGAACTACGAAAATGCATTATTTCTATGAAATCCACATACAATTTACTTTAAGCTTTTGGTTCTTTACAACAATCAGATTGATATCTTGTCTCTTTTGCTTCAACGTGACATAACGTTTGTCATAAATAGTTGTCATTCTGAACGACAAAAACTGTTCTTCAAGGGGATTTTGTGCGATGAAAGGGAAATCATCCGATATAGCCTCAAGTTTCGTAACTTAGCGTAAGATCAAGTGAGATTTCGCGGGATTAGGAGTTGAGTAGCGCCAGAAGTTGATCAACATACAACATTTCAAACTAGGGATGAGCATTTCATTTGCAACAGTAAGTGTTTGCAGAGAAGACGGCCACTTTTCGACCATTCAATATGCTTGGCAGCGGCACAATTATAATTGTTGTTTTTATTGTAAGAATTTCTTTGCTATTTCCAGCACGCGTAAGCGCATGGAATTATTTTACTTTGGTAAGTAAATCGCTATACAAAATATTTAAGTAATGCACGAGTTTTATGGGATAACTAGGTACCTATCACTATTCCCAACAACGTTTTCTCTTCTTTTAAAGGCCTCTGGCAGTTTGCTCTTCAGTATTGATAAGAGCAAATAATAATGATGCCTGAAAATGATGCCATAAATTCACCATCACTCAGTGCATTGTTCAAGCATCACGCTGTGCGATACCTCAACTGTAACCTATATGTTGTTCATGTACGAGGCTACGGCCAGCGGTTTTCTGTGTAGATCTGTGTTTTGGTAAGTGAAAGACAAACCGTGGGCTAAGGTAGATCGTGACATTTGCGTTATCACAAAAATATCCTAAGGGTAATAAAGTAAGATTTTGAGAAATGAACTACACGTTGGCATCGCATCGAACAATATCTGTGCAAAGCTTCAAGTAAGAGGGTATGTCTCTTACTGAGGTTGTCATCACGGATACCGCCTCCGGAGCTTAACCACAGGGTTGAATGCATGTAAACCTATGAAACATATGTCATCTCACCACATCACACCATTCACATTTAAGGATATAAGACAAGGAATCAAATCACAAAAGTCTTTGCCTGATAACCTTATGTACATGTACTGTATGCACATCATAAACTATAAATATTGGCAGTCAGATAATGTTCTTGTGTTCTGGCAGTGTCGGTCGTAAGTGGCAGTTAGAATTGGTATCTTTTGGTGCCCCTAACTCTACTTCCTGTAAAAATTCACGTAAGGCCTAAGTTATCCCATATCATTTTCGATAACAATTCACGTAAGGCCTAAGCTATGCCATATCACTTCCTATAACAATTCACGTAAAGCTTAAGCTATTCCATATCACTTCCACGAGTGTCATGTTTACAGAGATGGCCTAAAAACTGTTTATAGCAAGTCTAGAAGACGAACCAGGGCCTGTGTACCACCGAACTCCATGGTTTTTGGTATTTATTCTCCGTATGGCCTCCTCCATCTGTCACTGCACCATACTGCCATCAGAAATCTTTCCCGTGTTGTGGTATGCAAAGACTGAAACTATGAAAGTATATCATGGCGGTTTATCAAGAAAAGTTTATCCAACTAAATATGGGACTATTTTTTCTTATGAATCTAAGACCTTTTTGTAACAAAGCGTTTCACTTCTTTTTTCCATTGTAATTTGAATTTAAAACAGAATAAATCTTTAGTCTAAATAAAATGCGTGAATGGTGTCTCGCCGGAATCCAACGCCCGGGACTTGACCAATGTTTCATAGATGGTGGCCCAAAACATCGTATTTATAAGTAAAGAATAATTCTGTTTTATCATCCTATCTAGAAACCATGTGAAACCTCTTTTATAAGATTTAAGATTAATTTAATTGTGAAATATTGAATGCGCCATAGAGGAATCAATAATTGCTATAACTATTATGACCTCCAAAATGTACATTATGTTTGATAATTATGACTTCAGTTGTGCATGCTGCCAAAAGCGGAGAACAGTGAAATTATATTGTCTACCGCATTCTTGTAGTGAATATTAAAAAAAATGTTATACGATGACGTAATACGCCCTAATGGCGCTTTGACGTTATAATACCCTATACGTTGCCCAAACCTCTCAAATATCACCCTCTGATTCGTGGTCTTTCAATTTGCAATTAGCAAATGAAGACAAAATCTGTATTCCACTACTTGTATTAATTTCAGCCAAAGGTTTGACCTTTGATTTCCTGCATTCACACAAACAGCCTTTCCTCGGGGATATCTGCTTCCATGTTCTTCCTTTTTCATAACTTGTGGCTACCTAATATGAACTGATATATAAAGAACATCAAATAAACTCGAAATTATGAAGATACTGCAGATTATCATTCACTATTGAAGAGGGGAAGTAATATTTCAATAAATGACATTCTGTTTTATTGCTAGCTATTTGAAAAGGTGACAGAAAAAATCTTTGTCACAACATTCGTGTAGCGCCTTGTGTGGATTTTCCTAAATAGTAATAACTTTCACGTGCAAACAAGGATTTATGTTACCATATTGTTTCTGGCGGCCTTTTTGTGTTATTGGAATTTTCAGACGTGGCATAACAAAAAGTGTGCCAAGGAAGAGATAACCAGATAGTGTGCTAAATTCCATGCTTCCATGTGAAGAAGTAGTAAGAAAAGAACTTGGGCCTAAAACTTTTTTTGTCATTTGATATATTGTATTTTTGTCTCTTTGCATTGTTTTCACTTGCACGAGAAATATAGTCCTCCAAATGGCAATTACTAGATTTCAAAGCGATTGGTATTGTTGGTGAGACATTTGCACATATCTTTTTTTTTATTCGTGCGCTCAGAACAGGAATCTTGCACATTAACAGAAAATTTGGCTTCTTTGCGTGAGATGTTGTATTGACAGTTTTACCTTTATGGTATGATAAAAACATTGTACCAGAATAAGCGCTTAATCTATTTGCATTCGTTTTATTACAGCACAGGACAAGGGGTCAATACATTGTTTTATAACACATATATTTGATATTGCAATTTGAATAAAGTCTGATTTTCCAAAAGTGGCCCGGATCAAATGGCTTGCACGCGATCTCATGGTTTCACGTGCTGATCTCGTTCACTACTTTCTCGATTAGGTTTTGCACGGGATAAATTACCAGACCCGTAGTGAGCAATTTTAAATGGGGCCCCTTTTCTGAAAAACCGTAGACCTATAACCATGAAACCTTCTTGTAACTTTACCAAATTTTACCCAGAGCGGATCTTTTGCCGGCAAAAATGGTGGTTCGTTCGAACTTCCGAACCCTCCTTGCTATGGGCCTGATTACTGTACCAAGATAGAGCATTGGAAGGGGTATAATTATGATAAAAACTACAGAAATGAGTATTCACATATGTGGAAACCCAATAAATATCTCTTCCGAAAAATCACAGTTCAAACTGTGATAAATCTTTGCATTTTGCACTTTTATTTTTGCATTTAATGATTGCATTCCATGTCTTCATGACTATTTCACGAAGCGATATTCCTTTAATACTAATCATTTACGCCCGTGTTCCATTTAAGTTAATTTGACAAAAGGTCTTTGTTAGGTCTCACTGGTCAAACACACGACTTGAAATAAGCGCCAAAGGAATAGGCTTATACTTGGCCACTTTGTTGAATACGTGCGTCACGCTGCGCTATATTTTAATACATCAACCATGTGGTACATATCTGCCCAGCATTAATTACGTGGGATTATTAAGTTCCGCACGAGCAAGTCGTGATATAAAAACATGTTTTTGTCTTAGAATCACCCTATGAATTTTTTAACGTTTAATCATCCAAACAGATAATTCAATGTTTTAGACACACCTATGTCGAAGGTCCTTTTAAATTTTCGCAGGTTGCACAGAAGCACCAATTACACGAATAGAAATGTAATCAACCAAATTATGCTTTTAATGACATTGTACTTTGGTTATTGCTCGGTAAATTGTCAATGTCTGGTCTCAACCTAGACATTAGGGTAAAGACAGTGACCTCTTGGATCTAATTAGTGCAATTATTTTGATTAATTAGCATAAAGGGACCTACATATACGTTTACAATGTCTTTAACATTTAAACTGCATTACTTGTTAAAAAATATATACTGGTTTTGGACGTAACGATACACGGGATTCTTAATGGCGAGAGTCAGCAAAGTATTTTGTTCGGTAAAGTCGAATTCTAAAAATTGATGTAGAAAGCGCGTGTTTGGATAAAATTAATCAGTGGTTCGCCCTGTCGGACATATCCATCATCCACAAGAAGTGTGAACTTGACAATGATATTCAAGGGAAAAATTGTCGTTAACGCAGTCTTAATCTGTTTTAGTAGACAATTTCTTAACAGTTATTCCACACATTTTCCTTACAAGTACGATGGTGAAAGATGTAATTTATTTTTCACAATCTTTTCTTTTTAATTCTACCTACTGTACATGTTGCCAATTGCGTGTGGTTAACATTACCAGTGCATGGAAGTCACGCTCAAATGGCATCGTGCGCAGTGAGTTTCCTACAATGTACTTTGCCGACGACACTTGTCTTTTATTCCCAAGTCTCACGATTCTCGGATCAAGCTTTGTACTTCATATGGAATAATAAAATCAATAAATACAGATGAAATCTGCCCAAAATATCTTTAATCTTTGGATACAATCAACACCTCCACAGAAAGTATACATCTCAGCTGTATATAAATAATTTACTCAAGTTGTTGAATCTAAAACTCGAATTGTTTGTGCAGGCGCAAGAACATTTAAGCCATCTGGTCATTTTACCCAGTGATAGGTCTTTCCAGAACAAAAGTGGTCTTAACCGAGCGTTAAAATATCCAACTTTGTGCCCATGTCTTTACCGGATATTGATATGTATTTGCAGTGTTTGAAATTGTTGGTCAGGAAATGAAGCAAGGTCGTGATAACTTTGGTTGCTAGCGTTGCCGCACTACGACGTGGCTGAACTTGCTGTGCATAGGTTTTTCTCAATACTTGGGCGGAGTAGGAGTTTGGTTGATACCTGAAGAGAGATATGAAAAATAATATGTAGGAACTTTCTCTAAATATGATAAAGACGTATTTTATGACATTGAATACTATATAGGAGTATTAAGCATTAACGAAAATTTTTAATTCAAATGTGAAAGAAAGAAGAACTAACATTAATGCTATATGTATTAAAAATTGCAATGAAAGTTCGCTGCACAAACTGATTCGCTCGAGGTTTTAAGAATGGTCCCGTTCCACCAAGTCATCACATTAAAAAATGGCGTTTTCAGTTGCGTCCTCTTAATTTGCCTGATCATTTCAAACTTACATTTAACAAAGAAGACCGTAACGAGAATTTATAGCCTAGGGAAAGTTTCATTTCACAAGTCCCAGTATCGCTTCGCATCATTCAACCAATGTCAATGTATGTTTTTAGTTTCAGGTGTGAAAACAACATTATTCAATATTCATGAAATGCCTTCAAGCAGATTTAGTTGCCTTTTCCTTTCTATACATATAATTTGTCCCTAGAGCAGGGGAACACTTATTTAAATCAGAAGTTGTTTTTTGATGAAGAAACTGAATATTACGCCTCTGAAGTATCGTAGACGCGTGTAACATTATAAATTTCATCAAGTATTTTAACGGAAAACATTTGATAATTCAAACACTAATTATGATGTTACATTGAATTAGTTTTTATCTATATGCTACACTCCTTCCAAGACGAAAAATAAAGCGCACTACCTTAGAAACTTCTTATTAGAGGAAATCAAAAAAGCAAGTAGTTTACAAGTAGAAACAACTGTTGGTAAATTAATCAATATAAAGGCGATAGCCTTGACATGTAACATGTAACATGTATCTGCGTCCCCACTGGAACATTGCGGTTCAATGAATGCATCGGAACAGGAAACTTAGGAAACGTTTCGATTGTTGAAATTTTTATTGAACTCGATGCCGATTGTCATCCTGCTCCAATATCCGCACATAACTCTTCCATCCTTCTTAATTTGTAGATGGATTTTCGTATACCTAGTTTCGACGCTGTTTACTAACTTGGATACAACTAAAGGATTGCTTTCAGAAACAATGGGAATACCTTTGCGTCTTATTAAGTTCGTGTTTTCATTCCATTCGAGCGGAGAATGGTAACACCCTGATTGACTGCGTCACAATAAACCGCCCACTTTCGAATACTGCACGCATGGCATATTATAACAGTAAGTAGCAAATAAAATTGTTATAGGACATCATGTATTTCTTTAGTTCAATAGTGCCATATCTTTATACGTGCTCCAACTCTATATGTTTAGAAAAAGATATATTATCACACCATATCACATAATCTCATGTTGTAATAAACATCTGACCAATCCCTAGTGGAAATATACGCGTAGAAGGCCAAGCTTCGTATAGTCCTCTGTATCAAATGGGACTATGAATTATGGCTATTTGCCGCCATAACTGGATTAAGTATATTTCCCGGTGGACTTCAGATTTACGACGAGCCCCGCTGGACATCCCCAATGACCGACTTTATTACTTTGTTCTCCACAAAATCTAGGTATTTGCTCATCACAACCTGTTTCTTGTTATTGGTATGTAAATCAAGAATGTGTATTTCCATGGTCAAGTTGACAACAATATGTGGATAATTTATCTAATGCACACGAACGTGTGGGTTTCTCCATTCACCTTTTTTCTGTGCGACTGTTTACGTGTAATACCTTCAAAATAAGCGAGACCAAGGAGATGGGCCCAAAAATATGATTCTATGAAACATTTGGTGGTGAAGTAAAAAGCACTAGATGATTGTTGGTGTAGTGACAACAAAAATAAATCGATCCATTCACTGTGGATCGATGACAAGGGAAGGGAGATTAACGGATAGTTAGGCGCAAGAAATGATTAACCCTACTAGTTGTTCCAGCGTGTAATTATTATTTTCTATTATTAATTTCCTTTATGATCGGCAGAAAGATTTCTCTGCTTCACTGCTTCACCCCGTCTTTTAATATGAGATAGGGCATTATCAGTGCACTAAAAGAATGTGAAGAAATAATTAAATCAAAACATTGGACATTGGAATTTGAATTTGAATTTACAGAGAGAACTAAATATGTTGCTGCATTATTTTAAATATGTTTGTTCATTCCTTTAAAAGGTTGTGGTCATGAGACCCACAATAAGATATTCTCGGATATTCTATCATTCCGCCTGATTCACCTTATTTTACCCACAAAACAGAAAAAAAGACACATTTTAAAGAATGGCATTTCCATGTATGGTCGCTTAACCTTTTGATCCCATTATCGGCGGTCAGCGCTTTTCTCTAATAGAACTTTTGTTTTGCAAGTGTCAGCGTTAAAAAAACACCTTTATATTCCCTTCCCATAAATTCTCATGCTGGTGACGTACCTTCTAACACAAATCACGGCACTGAGCGTGGGTTAAACCAGCTGAGCCTACACAATTAGAAATGCAAGCGCCTCTTTTCGAAAAGCTGTTGTATAAACCTTCTGGTTTTTCTAACCGTGGCCAATGGCGTTGGCCCAGTTTTTCTAAATAATTGAGTCTGTCGGCGATCACTTGGAGAAGCCTATAGGGTGACATTCTTTGTTGGTATCGGTATTCGCTGTCTTCATCTGAAATTTAAAACAAGATATAAGTCAGGCTACTCTCTTACACAAGGAGTAACGTTAGAGCGTTAATGCACTGCAGCAACAAATGTAACACTTTCAAACCCGTTTGGATAATTTTTATAGAGCTTATAAGACAGATAATACTTATTCCTTATTAAATACTTATGACAGCAATTTTCAACCAATTGACTTTCATGGCATTTTAACAAATCCGTCATTGCTTTGCGGTTGATTTCGCCATATCTTTTATCAATAGGTAAAAATCAGATTAACGTACTTCAAGTTAAAACCCAATAAAATTTCAATAGATATAAATGTATCAAGGCGTCCACGAACGTCATGTATTTATAAATAAACGTTTTTAGCCAGTCTGTATAAGACAAATAATTAGCGAAGATATGAGACCTTAAAGGAACGTTAGCCAGCTTTCTATCGATAAAACCTTCTATGGCGTAGTGGGGGTGGTGGATTAAGTTTACAATATGGTATTGCTGCAATAACTATTAGATAAGAACATGGAGGAATTTAGAATTTCATCATTTAAGAAACCCGTTGAGAGCAACTTTTCTTGTGCATATTAAAGCGAAAACTTGGAATAAAAACATAAGAAAAATTCCGAAACCACAATTATTGAAATATTTATATATCACATATAAGCTATTTACATAAGATCCGGCATGGCACCTACACATTTAACCATCAACAAACATTTAAGGGTGGATGCTGCATTTCTGTGCAACATATCGGTCAGGACCGTAGCCGGGGGGAGGGGGGTGTCGAAAGAACCCCCTTTACCGGGAAAAGGTCCCCTCTGGGTAAAATTTTATCTAGGTACACGAAGGTTATATGGTAAAGGAAAGGTCCACTTTTTAAGAAAAAGAACCCCCCTTTTGAAATTGCTAGCTACGGGCCTGTTTTTTTTTTTTTTTTTTTTTTTTTTTTGTTATTCAGCAAATTATTCCTCCTCCACATTCTCATTGCTCCCCGGTGCCCTTCTTGACAAAACAAGGTTGTTATTTTTGTTGGAGGGCACACGGGCGTAAAATGCGAGAGAAAAGAGTAAGAAAGGGAGGATGTACTGGCGATACCTTGAGCGGATGTAGCCAACTGACGTGAAAGGACACACGGTTTTCTTTTGATTAATATATGATGTTACTTGTAATGTTTGTCTCAAAACTGTCGATTTTTCAGGATTTGATTTCTTTTTCAACCAATACCTTGATATCACCAACAATTCTAATTTGAATATTCTTTTTTACCCGAATAATGGCTAACACATTTTTTACTGCCCGGTGTATCAGGAATGAAAGTCCTAGGAATGGAAGTCCGGGCTCCCATATGATAAGTCCAGGTTAGGGTTAGTTGGAACATTGGGATTAGTATATGGGACGCATGTCACCTGTACAAAGTAACGGGAAGCGGACTACGGTTCCTAGCGGACTTTCATTCCTGTTACACCGGTACTACTCTTGAATTATGGCCAAGGGGTACCTCAGTTTTGTCATCCCCAACGCAAACACCGTTTTAGAGCCAACTTCAGCTATACAAATCATATCTTTTGCACTTAACAATGAAGTATATTGTTCCAACGGTTTAATAAGCGGGCGGTATTATTCAATAAATGCCACAAAATAGCAACCAGATATTTGCGTGCATTTTATCATCTTTGGTTTCAGTTCTTTTGAATGCTATGGTCGTACCTCAACATGTTATTTCTCGGAATGCCGTTCTTACGAGGTGTACCAAACTTATCCAATTAAATCGCATTATTTCGCCTGTGCTTAGTCGTTGTGTGGTTACCAAGTTAAATGGTTTAATTTGCTCACTGTCGCCGCTTAAGTACATTACTAAAGGAAATGAAGAAACTGACACTCGAAATCTATACTGTATGTATGACGATATGTAAGACGATATCTTCAAGATGGTATTTGTGAAGATTATTTGAACAACCGACGAATCATTAAAAACTGTTACTAACAGTGAAACCAGCCATTATTGGCATTACTCAGGTATACTGAGTTGGAGGCATTTTTTCAGATTAATCTCTGAATAAATCAAGGCATACACAGACTTGACATTTTATATAGAATATTATGATTTCAATGGTATTTCAAGATTAAAATGTGTTATTTCTAAAACGTACACCCATGCATGTGGATTATGAGAATAGATTAATGTGTAGTCAGGTTTGTCAGTAACAATTAACTGACTGTCTTGTCTGAAGCACTGCTGCATTACGTAATGTCTGGTGATTTCTTTGGGAGGCACTCTTTGGACTAGGCTAAGGCAGAGCATGGTCAGTCGAAAAAGTTTCAATATTTCGACAAAGGCTGCACAGATGATTTTGAAATTTTGAATACTTATAGCTGATGTTACGGTGCGTAAACTGAGAGAAGCATTGTTGCATTGTCACAGCACTGTTGATATGCGCCAAAATGGCGCAAAACAGATAAACATTGCCAGACAGATTATTGTGTCGCTAAGAACGCTCCGCACAGTCTTACAGAGATATGCCCAGACTACACAGAGGCCATGCCCAAGACATCCAGAACTAACCACAGGGAAACAGGAACCATTGTTCTTTCGGTTTCGCTGATACAAATTAACAAAGACACCCAATTCCCGTCAGAATGAGGGTCAAATTGTCACCAAAAGTTTTTTTTTGAAGGCCCATCGTAAGCTGCAGACTGGTTTAAGCAGGTTACTATACCAGGCGGACCTTCTGTGGGCAGCACAACATCGCCGTCTATTTCTGCAATGAGTTGGGAACCGTTAACTTTTCTGGGCATAATAATGGAAATATATGGTTTCACTTATGAGGTCAGATTTTATCTGAGCTGCAACATTGGTCCAATTTGAGTTCACAAATATTCCGAAGAGGCCTGCGACTAAGGGACCGTTCACATGGAAAGTCTATTTTCTAAAAATCTATTTTCTATTCGCGGTATCTTGTGATCACGGAAGTAACTGGCTCGCGTTGCCAGTAATTACGCCGCGGGATATTCAGGGCACAGACCGTGATCACAAGATACCGCGAATAGAAAATAGATTTTAGAAAATAGACTTTCCATGTGAACGGTCCCTAAGCTTGTGTCGCTTCTAGAGCGACTTGGGGCGGTGGGAGCATCTGTATTTGGGGTGGAATTCACGTTGGTGCCCAAACCAACCTCATTGGTAGCCATCGATAGTAACCTGAACCAGAACAAATAGACAAATATTCTAGAAAACAACCCCCTTTGAACTATTTTTTAGAGTGCACCTCAGGAACAAATCTACTTAACAAAATAAAAAAAAACTACCCACGCAGAGCACCTGTATTTAAAGATTACTTGCAGAACCAAGGAACTGAGCAGCTACTGCGGCCATCAAGATCGCCAGATTTGAAGCCTAGAGACAATCACTCGCCGAATTATCGGTCCACTGGTCTTACAACAAACCGACTGATTCCTGGAATATTATTCCAGTCCTAACTCCAACAAATCTGTCAGAAGCAATACCCTGCCACTTTAGGGCCCTAGTAGCAGCCAGATGAGGCCAGACGCACGATTGACCATTGCTGTGACTAGACACTGATATCTATAAGCGTCCCTTGTGAAGCGTATAACTCTTTAATAGATGACAATTTTGAAAATATGGAAATTGAAATAACGCTTGAAATGGTTGTTGTACAACTTACAAACAGCCATGTATTTTTGTTTGCTTAGTTAGGTGAATTCAATATAAGAGCTGATGTCACAATTACACTGCATAGATTATTTAAAGTTAAATTAAAACAAGATTTAAACCCGTGTTTTCATTTATAAGTCGGAAAAGTAGGGAAAAAATCAAAGAAAAATTATTTGGAAAAAATATTCCATATTAAATGTCAAGTGTGTGTGTGTGTGTGTGTGTGTGTGTGTGTATATATATATATATATATATATATATATATATATATATATATATCTCTTACTGACGGGTAAGGAGGGGCATATTCATGCGTCGATAAATCAGGTCCCACAGATCCAATTAGTGGCAACATTCTAGTCGATCATATTGTTATCTGCATACAGTACTGGGCCTGATAGTATTTGTCCCATTGTACCCATCATTTGTTGTATAACTTTCTATCATAATATGTAGGTAGCGTGGTGAATTCACTTACTGATGTTGTGCACCAAAGACTTTGAATGGGTATTCAGACGCCATACAGAAGACCCTTTCGCTTCATTTTAGTAATATCCTCAATTCGGAAACTGATAAAAAAGTTAGTCTTTCATTTTTACGTTTAATCACCCAAGACAGAAAACACCATTTCTTCGGCTGAAAGACCAAGTTCCGACCATTGCCCTCAAGGCCGCCTAACAAACATCAAGTAAAGACACTAGTTAAAAATATGGATACCCCAAGACAATAACTGGTAGTAAGGTATTCATCAGTCGGACTGTCTTCATGAAGATATTGTAGCTGCAATCTAACGCTACCAATTTATTGAGCCACTTACTTGTTACAATGGAAACGTCTCTGTCCCGGTAATGTTGGTGCAATCAAGTAATACGCCTCAATTAATTTAATCCAAATTACGTTTCACACTGGGGATTCGGACTAATTTACATAATTGAATGGTGTTGATCCACGGACAATGTTTCAAGAGCAATTAGAGAAAACATTAAATTGAGATTGCAGTAAGACCACAACCTCGGGGGACATCCTGTTCGTTATAGCGAAGATTTCTAATTCGTGAGAGACAATGACAAAATAATTGGGGAAATTGTAAGTCAATGTTGTGTTAGAAGGGCCGAAACAAGGGGGTGGGATGTGGGATTACAATAGGACAATGTGAAATTCCTTTTGGATCTCTGCAGCATTCACGAACTATTCATTCTTCACTTTCACTGTCATTCCGCAAGATACATTGCTTGGCATTCAAGAAATATGCGCGTTGAATTATTAATTTCATAATTATGGCACTTATAGCTATTATGAAAGCTACAACAATAAGCTGCGATCTATTAAGAGACGGATTTTACGTGCAAAATTATATATGACCGCTAATCGTGGTATCTGTAGTGAAAAATCGACCACGTGGGCAGCGATAAAGCCTAGTATTCGTGTTTTGAACAAACTACGTATGGCTATATATCCACGCAGTTTATGTTTTCACGAAAGGTGAAACGTTGTTTTATTTTAGTGTAATAATTCTTAATCAATAAAGACGAGTACGTTTTATTGAAGAGACAACTTCTCAGTCAAGAACATTTGTAAGTGAAGGACGTTTGGTGAATTTTCGTAAATGAATTTCCACCCACTACTGGTTTTAATGCAAAGATATTATGGTACTTCAATTTGAGCTTTCCTTGTAAAGAAAACAGTAACATACCGGTCGTAAGAGCGTGACAGTTCTTTGTAGTATACCAAGTGCCCTCAAAGAGTTCTTTATTTAAACACAGTGTATACCAAGAACTCGGAGAAAAGCACGTGAACTTCGCGTTAGGATTCAATATCTTTATCTGACAATATACGTTGGATACACGGCCCACTCTCTGATTTTATTTTTCAGACCATTTTTCTACATAAAAACAGTTTTAAACAACGAAGAAAATGATTTGATTACCAATATTTTTTCCTTTATATATAAATGCTATACTGCACGAGCATTCCATCAGCTTTCGACAGAAACGTTGAAATAATCCTAATGACGTTGTTTTTGTAGTCTGGAAACTTTTTGTCGACATCAATAACCTACACAATTCTTTAAATGTATTTTTCTAGCAATATTAGTCGCTTCATTTGCTTGTGTGGCAGAACCAACCATTAAATGAGTGTATTTTTGTGAACGCGTGTGACGTTATGTTCCAACGTTGATAGCGTTCTTTTTTTAACTACTTGGCATCATCCCAAAGATCGATTGATTGTAATTATCTTTTGTTTTGTTAAGAAGGCATGGTCTCTGGCAAAGGCAGCGTAGCACTTTGTTTTGTTTTTTTATTGCTAAATGTTGGAACTTTGAACTGAAGATGTGAAAGTGTAGATGCCACTGCCGCTAATTTCATAAAGATCTTCACTGTGTCAACCTTTACATATCTCACAACCCAGCATCCCCAGTTCGGAAACAAAAAAAGACCTTTAAAACATGCTTTTGGTTTTAAGAGTGTCCCCACTCCATATTGCATTCTAAGTTATTTCCCACGGCGTAGCAGCAAAACCTCCTTAATAATGGGCTCGGAAAGAATCATTTGACTTTTTTTTCCTGTGATCCGATTTTGTTTTTTGGTCACCGCTTTCAATCACTCTAGTTAATTTTCAATCAAGGTTGAGAGAGTACTCGCGTCAGGAAAGGCTGATGAGTACTTTACCTAGCATTCAGATTGCGGTTGGTATTGTTGTAATTAAACGATTTACTTCATCCATGTCAAGTTCTGTTCTTTTTTCTGCCCCCCCCCCCCTTATCCATCGTGAATAGTAGAACCGTCAGGCTGATTTTAACTATTATAGCAGGCAGTATGATCCATGGGCATTGCATCATGCTACCGACAAAAATATCTCCAAAAAAGGAGTATATCATGAATAAACATATGACTAATAGAATAATACCCCCTCTTGTTTCTTTAGCGGTTAAGCAAATGAAAAGAAACAATACCATATGGGTATGGTGTGTGGTTGACAAGGTTTTCTTAAGCATACTTCAATTTGGTGCTGAAACTGTAATTGACAGTGATGCCAATTATACTTTGCAATCTAGAGCTTGTGTGGATCCTGATGTGAAATAAGGACATGATTTGAAATAGGGTGTATGTTCCATTAATTGGCTAGCCTCACTGCAGCAGGCCTAATAAAGGTTAATCAAAGTTGCATGAAAACCGTCGTTCCGATAGTTGTATGTTATATGTTCATGTCATAAATCAATTTCTTTTTACAAGAGAGAAACAGAAAGGGAGTTACGCCGAGAGAGCGGGAACCGCACGGCGTATATACAACACTTACTTCAGTTTCAGGCAGACTATCATTATTCCAAACCAATGTAAATTCAGAATAAAAACCCGGCTTCAAAGTATTCACACTATCTCAAAGAGACAAAGCTGAGTGGGTTTCCTTGTTTAATTGAGGAAAGTGGAGTGACCCGTGACATGTCCATGATTTTTGCATTAATTATCCATTCATATTTTTGTTGAGTGTCTAACAAATATCTTGTTTAAACATTTTGAATATAGATATATAAAATACAGCCAACGTTTAACTGAATTTTTTTCACATGCAATATTTTATTACAATGTAGGGATATATGACAGTACACCTAGCAGCTGTTACTTTTTCTAAGAGATTAACAGCTTACATATACGACTGCAACAAGCTGAGAGATACACAAATGCACTTATATATAATATAATATAATAAAATATAATATATAAAAAACTGGGTATGTCAATACCATTTGAATAAAATGTATCATGCTTAATATAAACCTTCTTTTTGTTAATTTGGTCTGCAGCCATCAGTTTTAAAGAAGCTGATTTTTTCTTAAAATGTGGACCTTTTGGCCATCTTAGTTGACCTACATGTATTCTGAAAAATAGCATACAATCTTTCCTAAATTTTAATTCAGAGTGGACCATTTCGGTCAAATTAAGTGCGCATTCCTAATTCCATGAAAGGTAGGGTCAGGCCTGTAGCAGGCAGGTTTTAGCCTACTCTTTACTTCCATGAAAAAAGACATAGAATCTAGATCAAAACTAATGCCGGTCAAAAAGGTGCTTTTACCAAAACCCGTCCCCTCACCCCAACCTTTCAGCCTGGTTAATTCAAGTGCTCCCCGTAAGTACTCTGCCTGCTTCAAATGTAAGGAATCTTTCTGTATGTAAGTATAACGTATGTATTACTTGTTTTGTTGTCTTCTATACATTTTGATTTCATTTGCATTTCTTGTACTCTCTGCCTGCAGTTTTGTAACAATGAATAAACGAACTAATGCTCATACATTGTGCGTAGCGTTTGACTCTTTGTCGCCTATGAAAAAAAGAGAATAAGAAAATAAGGAAACAGTTTTAACAGAAAGGTTGGAAAACTTACCTGTTACTGGGATCCCCAATATCAGCGTTGCAAGACACGATAGTAATACTCCCGTTAAAAGTTTTGCTAGCATCATGCCGCTCTTTAAGTACTACTCAGTCTCTCTGTCTATATATATTTAAACGTATATTATATCCTATAGATAAAAGGGAATCCTTTTCTAAATGTGTTAATCCTTTATGCTGATCAAGACGGCTAGGTTGTCTACTGTTAGTGCTCAGCTTGGCTTATTTGACTCCACAAGTCGGTGTTCTTCTAATTCTACCCCTCAAACAATCATGTTACCTCTAATATACCTGGGAAATGAGATGGCGTGGAATTCCCAATGTGACCAACGTGTGCGCGCGACTAGAATAGCTGATGGCATTGATTGGGTCGTAAAGAAAAGCAATCTTAAAATAGTAGGCCTATTGCATGGGCGAGGGCGTCTCTAAATTAATAAATTAACAGCCAATTATTGTTAGACACAATGTGATGGGTTTCTGAATCGCGTACACATTGGACACTTAGCAACCAATAAAAACCGGTTCCGGCGTTCTGTTGACATCGCATTTTGTCATGGTGACATATGTGAGTGCACCTCAGACGTAATCGCTTTAGCTTCATTGCGCAGTGATCATAATATTATAACCCTTTGTTGAATTAACTATTCACGGTACTGTTGATATGTGGCACATCGCACGCACAAACATGTAGGCCTACACCCAAAAGACGACACATCCCCTCGCATCGTCATGTATCATCGTCAAGGCAATGTATCCTTGTTTCTTGAAATCCAAGTATGTTATATGCCTAATTCTAAACAATCTATATTACAAAATATATTACTATAATGCCTTTCATCTTTTTTAGTTTAAACGCTTATAGACGGTAGAACTCGTATGTATCTGAAAAGTCTAATGTGTAAAACACAAAACAATTTTTTTATTTTTTAACCAAAGTGACCAAAATTATCTTTTCTGTTTTATTATAATATTTGTTCTGTCCTTCCCAATCTATCTGGAAAGGATGGTTTAAACGGCGTGGCAAGCCTGTAAGCTGGTGAAAGAACAATGCAATTTTCCTCCATAGGCTTAGTGATTCCGGTATATCATGTACATTGCGCGGTTAGTTGCATTAATGCCACATTAGCAAATAGATAGATAGGGTACTTGGCAGGTGCCGTGTGCCAGAAGAAGATTGCCTTTATTTTCATGGCACAGACAACGCCAAGACCAGGAAAGGGGACAAAAAAGGTGACGCTACAGTTTGTTTATCGTTAAATGAACGTCCTATACTGAAGACTATTGTCTATTTTCAAAAATTGAATACGCCTACGGTTGTTTCTTTTTTCCTGGCACGTCGACACGGAATTTAGACACTGGCATTTATTGGTCATTGGAGAGCTAGTTAGACACGTATATGATTGATGATTGATGTAATGGAAGGATAAAGAGTGTCAGAGGCACCAACTTACTGTTTAAGGAAACCAGTGCATTGCAATAATATAAACAAGTCATAATCCTCATAATTATTATTAGAATTATTAGAATGCTGCAACTTCTGTATAGTGTGTCTAGTTCATCCTGTTCATATGTGATGATTTAATAAAATGTGCACTATTTTTTTTTTTTGGGGGGGGGGGGGGGGGGGGG